GCTTGGTGTAGTATTGGGTCGGGAAGGGAGGAAAGAGAGATCTACCTGTTGGGGTGCCACGTTGCTTGAGGGACAAGTGGAAAAGAAGTTTAGAGAAGATGGGAAAGTGTTGGGAGCTGTCACATAGGAACCGGGCGCCCCTTAGCCTTGAACGGTGAGAATGTGTAGATGTGGCAAGCCAGCCACAGGCTGTGTATGTGTGTGTGAACTGTGAACACCAAGCGCACCAAGTGGACTGAATCGATGTTGCCCCTCTGTTTGGACGGGCCTCGCTCTGGTCTTTTTGCTTGCTCTGCCATGATCCCCACACAGCTCATGAGATGGGCGTGGCCTCCCTAGATGTCAGTCAACCTCAGCCCTCTGAAACCTGACCCCTTGCCTCGTTTGAATGGCTTCTCCCCAATAAAAGGGATTCAGCATGTGCTCGCGCTCTCTCTCTTTCCACGGACCCCTAAAGTCAGAGGAGCCGTCACAGGACTCAAAGAAAAAGGTATTTCTCTGTCTCCGTGTGATTATTTTGTGCATCCTAGTTCACTTGGAGTGACTTTGAGTGTTTTAGTCATGGAACGCGACAGGAAAGCTAAAGCTCAGAGAGGGTAAGTGACCTGTTCTGGGACCATTTGGACTACCATCTCCAAAGTTTGTGCTCTTGCTAGATGTTCTCTCAGTTCTGGCCCCGGAGCCCCAGCTAATGCCCAGCAGGGAGGAGGAGGTGTTGTACAATATAGCCCATGCTCTCCCTTCTCTGCAAGAGAACCATCCCAATAACTGCAATGAAAGCCCCTGAGTGTTTCACTGCCCAGAAAGAGAGCAGAGAGTAGGGGACGAGGGGACCACTTGGGCCCAGCATCTGACTGGTGCCCTTGAGGCACAATTGCTGGGGCAGTCAGGGCTGGCAGCCCTTGGGAAGTTCCCGGGGCCACCTGATGCAGAGCTGGAGCAGGGCAGGCCAGGAAACTGAGTGCTGTGTGGCCTGGGGCAAGTCCTCACCCCTCCTGAGTTCCCACTGCTGTAAAATGAGGCCATGGCTCTCCCTGAGTCCCAGTTTCCTGAGGTCCTGGATGCTTCGAGGGGACCTGAGGACCTGTGTCCATTCTTTCCAGCTTCTTCCTCTGTCTTAAGCTGCTGCTAGAACTGTCCCCGCCACCCTACACTGGTCATTCTTCCTGCTTCGAAATGAGACACCTGAGAGCATAAAATGGGTGGGAAGAGGACTGCAGACCCCGACACCTGCCAGCTGCAGCCCCTAGGCTGGCAGGAATCAAAAGTCTTACAGCCCTAAGGGTCAGCAGGTTGGTGGTTGCTAAGAGCCACAGCCAAGTAATATGATGCATGCCATGGCATGTTTGGTTGAAAGGTGACACCAGCAAGCCATTGAGATGATATGATTATGTTAAGATATGCATTCATATGGATATTGGACTCCTGCTGTCCACCTCGGCCTGCTACGGGACTCCTGGAGAGTTCCCATTGGTTGGGGAAGTGTGGTAGGAGGGAATTCCGGAGGAGGGACTTCCTGTTGGGGTCCGGGAGAACGCTGCTTGGGTCGGTCTTCCGGGAGCCTCCGGGGCATTGGCGGCAGTTTCAAAAATAAAGTTTGTTCCTGCTTGAGTGGCTCGTGATTTTTGTGCCCAGCCAGACTGCGGCAGGTGGTGAACAGACTCCTGGGAGAAAATTAGGGTCAACACGCCAGCATGTGGGCACAGGCAACGACCTTCTCATTAGGACCCCTGAAGCTCAGGAACTAATGCCAAGAGTTAATAAATGGGATGGCATCATATTAAAAAGCTTCCGCATAGCAAAGGAAACAATTTGAAATGTGAAAAGGGATCCTACAGAATGGGAGGAAACCTGGGCTAGCTTCTCTTCTGAATATACACAGAATTCAAAAAACTTAACACCGAAAAGAACCCAGTTACTAAATGGACAGATGAACTAAACAGACACTTCTCAAAAGAAGACATACAAATAGCCAACAAATATATGAAAAAATGCTCTACATCATCAACAATTAGGGGAATGCAAATCAAAACTATACTGAGACTTCATCTCACAATAGTCAGAATGGCAGTCATCAAGAACACAAATAACAGAGGGGTGTGGTAGCGCACATCTGTAATCCCAGCAGCTTGGGAGGCAGAGGCAGGAGGATCATGAGTTCAAAGCCAGCCTCAGCAACTTAGCGAGGCCCTAAACAACTCAGTGAGACCCTGTCTCTAAATAAAATACAAAATAGACCTGAGGATGTGGCTCAGTGGTCGAGTGCCCTTGAGTGCCCCTGAGTTCAATCCCCAGTACCCTCAACCCCACAAAAAGAAATTACAAATAATAATAAAGGATCTGGAGAAAAAGGATCACTTTTACACTGTTGATGGGATTGTAAATTAATAAAACCCCTATGAGAATTAAAAGGCTAGGCATGGAACCACCATATGACCCAGCTATCTCAGTTACTTTATCTTTATTGTGAAGAATTAAAGTCCCCATATGGTAGTGATACACACATACCCATGTTTTTAGCAGAACAATTCACAATAGCCCAACTATGGAACCAGCCTGGGTGTCCATCAATGGATGAATGGATGAAGAAAATATGGTGTAGGTACACAATGGAGTTTTATTCAACCATAAAGAAAAAAGAAATTATAATCATTTGTAGGAAAATGGATGAAACTGGAGAACATTATGTTAAGCAAAATAAGCCAAACTCAGATGGTCAAGGGTTGTATGTTTTCTCTCATATATAGAAGCTAGAGAGGGAAAAAAAGGTGGGGAGGTGTGGGATCTCATGAAAATCAAAGGGAGATTAGTAGAGGAAAGGACCAGGAGGTGAGAGGAGAGGAGGGAGGGAGGAATTATATCATTATATTGTGTACATGTACAAATGTGTAACAACAAATCCATCATTATGTTCAACTATAATACACCAATAAAAAATGTGAAGAATAAAAAAGAAACTCTCATACACAACAGTGGGGATGTAAACAACTCTGCAAGTCCATAGGCTTGCAGTCAAAGCTGGCCTGGGATCAAATCTCAGCTCTGGCATTTACACACAGTGTGACCTGGGGCAAGTTAGTTAACCTCTCTGAACCCGTTGCATCATCAATCAAATCTCATAGAGTTATTGTGAGGGTCAAGTGAGGATGTGTGTAATGTGGATGGTGTAGTGCCTAGAGCTTAGTAGCTGCTCAATAAATAATAGCTACAACCCTTCTGTTCTTCCCCTCCCCTGGAGGGTCAGGGTTGTGACATTAAGAAGTTCAGGGATCAAGGTACATGGCCTCTCCTCCATCTTGCCAGGTCCCTGCTGCCCTTCCCTCATGGTTCTTGGTGACAGCCTGAGCACAGTCAGAGGTGGCTCCACCTGGACTGTAGCAGAAACCCAAACAAAGGGACATTTCCCATGCCTGAAGAGTCATCTTCTAAAGGAACACTAAAGAAAAAAAAAAAAAAAAGCCAGAGGCTAAAGTCAAAGAAGTCAAAAAAGACCAGAGTCCGGAGGGCATGACCTAATCATCCCGGATGATGCCATGCTCCACTCTCACACCCATGGCAGACATCGCTAATCAATCACCGAGCTGCCCTCAGAATCCTGCTGAACCCAAGCTTCACATAGCTTGTACCAGTCAATGACAGGAGCCCATCCCCCTCAGCCCCTTCTGCCTCAGGGCACATCAGCCAGGCTTACAGCTGCCAGCACTGACTTTTCTTTGCTTACTTCAGGCCAGCAGGGCCAGGAATGAACAGCCACCAGCCACTGTCAATCAATGGCCAGCAGGGATGGGGACTAAAGCTGCAGTGCCCTCAGCCTCCGGTCCGGTACCTCACGGGGGTGTCTTCTCCACCAGGGTTCCTGAATGCCCCAGAAGGGCCCCGTTCCACTAGCATAATGGGAGCTGGCTGGCCCACGAGCTCTTGGTGAAGCCCTTTGTCCCTGTCCCCTACCCCTCACTTCCCAGCCCACGTTTCTTGGGCTCATTCCCATTTACATCCATTTCCCTTGGTTCTTGTCTTGGGGTCTGATTCTGAGGAATCCTAAACTCAAACACCCCTTCCTCCATAAAATAAATATCCCTTTATTTTATGGAAGGGAAAGAGTGGTTTTCCCAAGCCAGAGCCAGAGACAGGGCCCTAATGAGAACCCCATTCTCCAGGCCTAGGATTTACTCCTTCCCAGTGTCATTTGTTACCTCTTGGGGGCTGTCCCTGGTCTGCCCATCCCACTCCACCCCCAGGGATTCTATTTCCCAATGATCACAGGTTAGAAAACCCAGGGGCACCAGACACAGTGTGCAGGGAGACTCTGCCTGAAACCCCCGGACTTATTTCAGAAGGTGACACCTCTTTTCTCTTGGTGCTGGTCCTTAGACCAGTCCCATAAACTTCTAGAGCCCCAGTGTCCTGAGCAGTGGAGTAGGTTGCTGGGGAAACCGTACCATGCTGGTGTGTGGAAGGAGCTCCCTGACTTCCCCCACCTCAGATGCCATCTCAGGAAAAATAAAAACACACAGTGCCATGTTTTAAAAGACAATAATCCAAAACTATATTTGCTTTGTAACTTTAGTGGCAAATGCATATTCTTTCAGCTGATATTTCCTACTTAATTGAACAGGAGAACATCCATGAGAAAATGACCCCTGCTTTCTAGCACTGGAATGTAACTCTGGATATTTCTGCCTGTACCCGGCACCCTGGTGCAGCCAGTGCCTTGAGATGCTGCAGTCTCACCTTTGATGTGGAGGAAAAAGCACATGCTAAAAAGTTTACAGAGTTTAAATCTCACCCCTCCACCCACTGTGTGACCTGGAGCCCAGGGTGGTTTCTCCCTCTCTGAACGTCGGGCTCTTCATCTGTGCAGTGGGAGTGAGGATTTCACCTACTGTGCTGCTGTCAGACTGAGCGTTGCCTCCCTGCCCAGTCCTCTGCCAGGGAGGCAGCTGGGAGGGGACCACCCACAGAAGAGGGTGCGGCCTCTTGTTGTCCCTCCTCCAGGTAGCCCCTGGTGACAAGATAGGGTACCTGTTGAGTTCTCTGCTCTCTACCTCAGTTCCTGAAGTCTGGGTGCTGGAGGCATGAACAAGATCTTCCCCCAGGTAAGAGCTGCCCTGAGCTGGCTCCTGCCCTCAGGATGGTAAACCCTGCTCCTAGGAGTGGAGAAGAAAGGGGGGTCCTTTGACACCCTGCTGGGCCACCAAGGTGAATCAGAACCCACCCTACCACATGGCAGGGGTCCCAGCAGGTGAACCAGCCAGAGTTCAAGTGGCCAGTGCTGGGCAGGAGCCGGGAGCCAGGTGCACAGAGACCGGGAAGCGATCAGCACTGTGGCAGAGGGGCCCCAGGGAGGAGCGGCCGGAGCAAGTTGCAGGATGAGTGTTTGCCAAGTGGACCACAGAGGAAAAGGGATTCCGCCCCATCAGCGAGTGGAAATGGGAGGCAGTAGCAAGAGTGTGGAGCACTCAGTTACAGCTGTGGGACCAGGAGTCTTATCTGAGGCTCTCAGCCACCCATTCTGAAGACGCCCTGAGGCTGGGCACCGCCTCTCCTAAGGCTCTGTTCTTTTGGGCAGGGGGATGTCACCCGCAATGCTGCTGCTGGAACCAAAGCCCGCCCTGGAGGGGAAGGTAAAGGACCTGAGGCCTGTGGGCCTCCTCCCACGGGTGGGGATGCCTTGGAGCCCAGCAGCCGGCTGCAAAGGCACAAAGAGGGTCCAAGCCTCCACTGTCCTTCTGCCCCCCATATAGATGGCATCTGTTCCCAGCTTCCTGGCCAGTCATGCCGACAGTCAGTTACTTAATAGGACTGTTCATTATCTCCATGCACAAGCATTTATGGGGCACCTACTGTGTGCTATGTCCCTCACAGGCGCTGCGCTGCTTACAATGCCCCCATGTAATGTTGAGAAAGGAGCCCAGAGTCAAATCCCTGACTCGGTGAGTGACATGGGCAACTCTCTGTACCTCTAAGGGATCAAGCACCCCAGGATCACACAATTATTTAGCACCTATCATGTGCCACTGACTCACGGTGCTACCAGGGCTATTTATTCTCTTTGCCTTTATGAAGTAAAGGGAAGTAAGAGCATGTATTTATTGAGTGTCTCCCATGTGCCTTGTCTTGACCCATGTTTGCTCTATGACAAAACAGACCCAAAGAGGCAGATGGCAGCAACAGCTATAAAGAATCCACCCTACTATGTGTCTGGCTCTGCACCATCTCTTTCAATCCTCAGAACAGCTGTTTGCAGGGTTGGGTGTTATTAAGAGCAATAACAGATGAGACAGCTGAGACTAGGAGGTTTGGGTAATCAGGTCACCATCACCCAGCTGGAAGGTGGGAAAGACAAAGTTGAAATTCTAACCAAGGTCCCTCTTGTAGCAAAGCCCAGTGCTTTTTTTGTTGTTGTTGTTATGGGCGCTTACTACTGAGCCATATCCCCAGCCTTTTTTATATTTTATTTTGATGCAGGATCTCACTAAGTTGCTAAGGTCTCTCTAAACTGCTGAGACTGGTTTTGAACTTGCGATCCTCCTGCCTCAGCCTCCCCTGGTGCTGGGATCACAGGCACGCTCCACTGTGCCCGGCCCAGGGCCTTTGCTGCTCTGCACTGGTGTTTCTGCTTCCAAGTCCTAGCTCACGGTGGGCGTGGCTGCCGGACCAGCAGGTTCCTTTCCTCCATCTGTCCAGGGAGGCAATGACACATAAAGATTTTGGGGCTTTGCAGTATGTCATCTTCTCCTGGGAGTGAGCTTCAGTTTAGCAGGTTCAGCACTGAGTCCCCCCTCTCCCTTCCCCCGGGGACCCCACCTTGCAAGTAGCCTATGCTGCACAAATATTTGAGAAGTGGCTGCTTGGCTGAGCAGGACACCTCCCCTGGCCCAGCTTTGCACTGTCTCCCGGGTTACCTGCCCTGTGTTTACCTGCCAGGGCTGCAGGGATTATTGGCTTTAGAGCCTCCTGTCGACCTGCTTTTGTCACCTCTCCCAGCACAGGGCACGCCCACATCCTGTCCTGCAGGCCATCCACCAGCTTCCAGGTTTCCATGGCCTCTCCTGGAACACCCTCTTTAGGCCTCCCTGGCCTCCCCTGCAGGGGTAGCGCCCATGCTTCTGAAGCTGCATGGAGCTCACGGGGCACCTGGCCCACACTTTCTTAGCACCCTTTACACCTAACGCCACCCAGGTCCACTTCTAACTGGCAGGTGGCTCTGGGCAAGTGAGTGGATTGAGTGGAAATGACCCAAACTCATCAAATTGATAGCCTTCCCCTGGATCTCTGGCTGAGTATATTCCCAAAGTATTCACAAAGCACCTACTGTGTGCCTGCCTCAGAGCTAGTAACAGATATGAATCAACCTGCTCCTGCCCTTTTTTTTTTTTTTGGAGGTATCTGTGACCTGGACCTGACAGTAGCCCACACTCATTCCTGTGTTCATGCTTCACCTTCTAATGCAACCATAAAATTTTGGGGAACAAAATCAGAGCCACAGTTACTTTTGTGTCCTCTTCAGAGCAAGATACCCAGAAGGTCCTCAATTAAGATTTCTTTCATTATTTTGCCAGCAAGAGAGGATAAAGAGAGGATAAAGGAGAAAAGTGTAGTCCTAGGAGCACTGCTATACACAAGAGAGATGCTCAATAAACACTAAGAATAGCTCACACCTAGCACTTACTATGTGCAAATGCTGTCCTGGTATACTAATTCAACAAACTGACCCATACGATGGTCCCCATTTTCCATATGAGGAAACTGAGGCACAGAAAAAATAAGTGACTTAATGTTGCTCACCTAGGAAGTGGTGGAGCTGGGACTCCAGTGTACTGACAGGCTTTAGAATGGACAAACAACTAAAATCCTGGAAAGGATACCAGTTGTGGCATTTGACAGTGTGGACGCACATCCTAGCTTTTCATAGAGTAAACTGGACCTTTGCTTCTCTGAACCTTAGTTTCTTCATCCATCAAAATAAAGGGTGGTTTTGCTGGGCATAGTGGTGCACACCTGTAATCCCAGCGACTTGGGAGGCTGAGGCAGGAGGATCACAAGTTCAAGGCCAGCCTCAGCAACTTAGTGAGATGCTGTCTCAAAATGATAAAAAAAAGGGCTGGTATAGCTCAGTGGTTAAGCACCCCTGAGTTCAATCCCTGGTACCAAAAAATAAATAAAGGGTGGTTTTGAAAAATAGAAATAATGGTTATGAAGGACTTGATGTCACTTCCACCCCACAGTAGGGACTGAATGCACAGGTTTCCATCTCTGCATCCTGAGGAGGCTGCCTGGAGCATAGGCGGGTGAGGACTGTGGAGGATGAGGTCTGGAGCAGAGGCCAGCCGGGTAGCACTTGGTGGTAGTGGGTTGGCAGGGAGAAGCCAGAGCCCCTTGGAGGATGCAGGAGCCCTCTTTCTGGGAAGTTCTCCTGCCTTGGCCTTCCCTGTGGGGGTGCTTGCTGGGGCCAGATCAGTGCAGGGGACCCCTGGGCCCAGTGCTAGCCACTGGCTGCAGCATCAACATGTGTCCCAACCCTCACAGCAACCTGCGGCCCCTGCTGCTCCCGACGTGGGGCCTGCCTCTCGGCCTTCCTGCTGTTCCTGCTGGCAATGCTCGCGGCCCTCATCACCCTGGTCACCATCGTTGGACTCCCTTCACGCACATCAGGTGGTCATGAGGGGATGGGTCAGACCTGCTGCAGGGTACGGGGAGCCCAGCCCTCCCTGGCTTCTGCAAGTGCTTTTTGCATAATTCCTTAGGATGCAAACGCAGACACACACTGTACACATGTCTCTGAGCCTTGGTTTGCACATCTATGACACGAGTTGTCGAGAAGACCCAGCTCTGATGTCGCCTCCTCCTGAAAGCCTTCCCTGACTCCGAGGCTGGGTTAGGTGCCTCATGTCAGCCCCCACAGCCTCCACACTTCTCTTCCCCTATCCCGGTCACCCAAGAGATGGCTCTGCCGCCAGGCAGGGTGGGTGTAAGGGGACAAGATGGGGAGAGAGTGAAATTCACAGTCTTCTGCATTCCTGTGCAGGAACAGGGGACTGAGCAGAGCTGGGAATACGCAAGGAGTCGCAGTCACATGCCTGTGTGCACATGCGTGTCTGTGAGCCCGCGTGTGCCAGTAGTGTTTGCATGCACCTGGACGCACGGGTATGTGTGTCAGTGTGGGCGTGTCCACGTGTGGGCCTATTGTCGGTATCTGCGTGGGACTGTGTATGTAGGTGCAGATGTCTGTGTGAGCATGCGTGTGTCAGTGTGGGCGTCTGTGTGTGTATGTCTGTGACAGCCTGGTGTCCCTGAGCGCTGGCCTTCTCACACTAACCGAGGGTGCCAGGAGCTGAGATGTGGCTCACATGAACATACACACACACACACACACACACACACGCACACAAACCTGCTGCCATCCCCAGTGAGCACACACAGACACGTGCACAGTCTGGGGCCAGGGGACATCTCATCTGCCAGTTTCTTTCCTAAGTCTTAGGAGCAGCCCTAGGGGTGAATATGTGGGTATCTCTTCTCTCTGAGGGGGGTGACAATGACATTTCAGGGATGCTTGGGGAACAATGGGATGAAATTGAGACCGTGTTCTGTGGACCATGAAGCTGAGCCCAGATGTGAGGGATCATGACCCACAGTCCTCATGGCAGCCCAAATACATTGCTTCTGAGGTTTCCCTGAGTGGAGCACTGTCCCTAGAGCCTCCTGTGAGAGTGCAGATAAGTCTTCAGTGAGAGCCGGGACCGAGGCTGATTGTGTGCCTTCTGTGCTCTAGGTGTGTCTACAGAGAAGCGTTTACTGCACCCACATGAGTCCTACGGGGGTGGGCTTTGGGTCTCATTGTGCCGGACTTAGCTCTCCTCTGGGAAGCCCTCTCTGGGTCGAGAGGTCAGATCATCTGCTCAAGGTTATACAGCTGGCAGGAGGCCACACTGGGACTTAAAGGATCCCTACCATTGAGTAAACAGGGCCGGTGTACTGTCCCAGCCTCTCAGGGTGGAGCTTGGGTGGGGCTCAATGCCCGCCTAGGTGCTGCCCTTGTGAGCACCACCCTGACTCTCTGGGGCCTCCCCTACCCACACAGGGGCCCAGGCCTGTGTGACGCTGACTAACAGGACAGGCTTCTTGTGTGGGGACCGGAGGAGCTGCATCTCCGCCAGCCAGGTGTGTGATGGCCTTCGCACCTGTCCCCACGGCGATGACGAGGATGAGAGCTTGTGCCGTGAGTGCCCCTTAGTCATGCCCTGCCCAGATCAGCCCTCCCGAGGGTGGCCCCCACCTCATCTCTCCCTGCAGCTCCACTGAAGCCTGACCATCTCTGAGCAAGTCAGGCCCCAGGCCTTTGAAGATACAGTGCCTCTGGCCGGAAACCCCTGTCCCCACCCTGCCTCAGTCAGGTATACATGCGTACATGCCTTCACTGTGCACCTCCACTCCCAGAGGACCTGTATTCGTCCTTCAAGAAAGAATTCAAGGGCGAAGTAGCCTCCAGGAAGCCTCCCCTGATTCCTGCACTAGGTTGAGGGTCCACAACTGCCGTGCCTCCCTGGGACCCAGCCCTAGGCTTATTGGTGTCATCTCTGCAGCCCCATCAGACTCAGCTCCCCTGGGGCAGTTCTGGTCTGCTTGAGCTCGGCACAGATGGGTATCTGGAATGACACCAAATGAACCAGTGGACGAATGGATGGGAAGACCTGGACCCACACCCCAGAGGCCAGACAGATCTCGGGAGAAAGGAGAACCAGCAGGGGGAGATTCAGTACCTGAAGCCCCAGGGGGGAGAGAGCCTGATGAGGTGGGGTGGAGCCGAGCCGGCAGGGACGGTGCCTGGCGCTCAAACCCTGAACAGCCTCTAGTCGGTGCCCCAGCTCCTATCCACCCCCTCTGCCAGAAGCCCCGACAAGTCACCAACCTCTGCTTGCATATTCCTGGGATGGGGAACTTGCCACCTGGGGTGGCCGCCCCCAGCTTTGAATGCTCTTCCCAAGGAAAGGCATGCCTTGTCCTGCAAGTACTGCTATTTCCAGTGTTCTCCCAGACTGGTTCCCGCCCGGCTCTCTCCTCAACCCCTGCCCCAATAGACCATCTTTCAATCTTTCTCCTGTGATGGTGGTTCTGCATGGATTTGGGGGTTCCCTCTCTGGCCTGCTTCTTTAGGTCACACCCTGAACTCCCACAGTCACCCTCCAGGGGACCCGGTTCCTGCTCCCTCCCATTCTACCAGTGTACACATACCAACTGCCCATGTCCCTCTCCCTGGTCAGGCCCCAGAAACATCCATCACACTCCTGCCTGAATCTGTCCAGTCCAAGGATCCCGAGTCTGGATCTTTTCCCTCCAGTATGGATGTGGCCTAAGTTTGTGTGAACTTTGGATTTTCCTGTCACACGGCTGCCTAACACAGAGCCCACTTTTGAGAAAGGTGCTCTGGGTCCCTCTCAAGAGGCGTGTAAGCCACACCTGCTTAGTTCTGAGACCCAAGTGCAAGAATCGCACCTGTTACATTCCAGTTGGAGGAGGCTTCCTGGAGGTGAAGGAGTTTGAACCTGGACTTGAAGGCAGAATGATTTAAAATTGGTGTCAAGGAGACTCTTCTGGAAGGAGAAATAGCGCAAGCAATGGTGTGGTGGGGAGGCGGAGCTGGGCAGGGGGTGAGGAAGGGCGAGGCAGCCCTCTGGGCCTCTTGCTGGATGCACAGGCAAAAAAGTACTCCTCTCCGTGGACTTGACCTCCTCTCCCACGAGACCTGTGCCCTTCCTGGGACGAGCAGGAGGTGACCCTGAGTTTGACAACTGCCAGGGTGGCCAGGATGATCCACCTCCAGATGGCCCCGAGGTAGCTGTGGCTAGGTGTGAACTTCTTCCTGCTTCCTCTGTCCCTCTGCAGGAGATGTGCCCCAGAACCTCCCCAGCTTCCTTGTGGCTCGCTGTGGAGACCTGGCCTCCTGGATCTACTCAGACCAAAAGTGTGATGGGATCAACAACTGCGGGGACTGCTCAGATGAACTGAGCCCAGGTGGGGGACTGGCACAGGAGGGACTGGGGCAGGTGGCCAGGCCGTGGCCAGAGGGCAGAGGTTGACCAGGGAATCTGTGAGGTTCCACTCTACCTGCCTTCCCTGCATCCCGGGAAGAAGCTTTCTACTCCTGCTTGAATGCCTCAGGGTGGGGTGCTCACTACCTTGGGGCCTCCTGGCGGTTCTTTCTCCTATGAGGGGCAACTTACCTTTGAGGGCACAGATGAGGACACTGGGACCCAGAGGTCATCATGTAAGGAGACGTGCATGGCCCACCTGGGATTTGAACCTGGGTTTTCCCCATGAAGAAAGCAGGGCAAGAATGGCTGGACCCGACTTGTATGTAGGTAAGCTGAAGCTCCAAGAGGAGAAGGGACAGCAAGTGACAGAAAGGGACCTCGGGTGAAAACCCGTCTCCTGACTCCCTGTCTGGAGTCTTGCTCCTTTAAATCCCTTCCCTGGTGTTCAATCAACAATCACGCCCAGAACACCGTTGGGCCTGGGCCTGGTACAAGATTCCAGTGGGGGACAGTCAGGGGTCAGAGAAGGATGCCCCCAGGACTCACATCATGCCGACGACAAAAGGAAATGCTGGGCCCTGAAGGAGGCAAGGGAGGCTTGTCAGGAGAGGTGACGTTCCAGGGTTTCAACAGCTGGGCGTGCTGGTGCATGCCTGTAATCCCAGCTACTCTGGAGGCTGAGGCAGGAGGATCACAAGTTTGAGGCCAGTCTGGGCAATTTAGTGAGACTCTGTCTCAAAATAAAATAAAAGGGACTGGAAATGTAGCTCAGAGGCAGAGCACTTGTCTAGCATGCACAAGGCCCTGGGTGTGTTGCCCAACACCGAGGGGCGGGGGGAATAGATAGGGTTTCAACAGGCAGGGGCTGACATGAAGTCCAGGGTACAGGGTACAGGGTACAGGGTACGGGGCAAGGGAGAGAAGTCTGTGAGGCACCACTGGGGAAACTTCAGGGGTTGGTGTAGCTGGAGTTAGGATAAGGCTGGGAGGTAGAGCAGGTGATAGGGAGGGGGAATCAGCAGCCATTCATATTTGAGCACTACTGTCTTCCTTAATAACAACCTTGAGTAGATGCAGAAACTGAGGCTCAGACAGGGTGAGGGAGGAAACATCGAGTAGTGGGGTCTCAATTCTCTCCTCTGCAAGAAAACCAAGAACACAGTCAGCCCATGTCAGATGGGGTGGGGTTACGGGGAGCTATGGCAGGTTTCAGAGCTAGGGAGTGCCCTGGGGCCTGGAGTGCTCCAGGACACCACAGTGGTTCTTCTACCTGCTTTTATCCCCTCAGTGACTGCATGCCCACCCTGTGACGCTGGGTGGTGGCGCTGCTCTCCAACTGTCTTCAAATACTGCAGCTGTATCCCAAGGACTCTCTGCCAGGACCACGTGCAGCACTGCTCTGACTGGTCCGATGAGTACTCCTGTCCCGGACCCTGAGAGGGCCTTCCAGGCCAGCGGGAGAGGCTGGTTGGAATGGCACTGGTAACTCTTCACAAGAACGTCAAGTCCTGGACCAAAAGGCAAGAGGAGCCTTCAAAATCTTCTAGCAGGATCTACACACTGTATCTCAATAGGAATTGCCTCTTCACTTTTCCAGTTGCTCAGCCACTGCTTGAATGCCTCCAGTGACAGGGAGCTCACTAACACGTTGTCAGTTTCTAACAAAGACGAGGAGAATCTGCCCCTATGGTTTTAGGCCTGTCTCTGAGACAACGCGGAGGAAATGTGGTCCTCTACTCCATGCCAGGCTTGCTGATCCCAATCTTGTCCCCTTTAGAAGAAATGTTTGAGACTTAAGTGTCAAGCTAGGAGTTTAGCCCCCAAGGGGGGTACATAAGTAAAGTATATGCCACTCCCTGCCTATTTGGTATCTAAGGCAGATGGTGCTGGGTTCGGAGGCCACTTTAGCTAGCTGAGCAGCCCTGGGCTCTTGAGGAAGGGGCTCTATTTTGGTCCCAGAGCTGGACTGAGCCATTTCTCTGCATACTTTTCCAGCTTCACAGCACCCAGGCAGGTAGGGATAGATGTCTCCATTAGACAAATGAGGAAACTGAGGCCCAGAGCAGGAAATGGCTTGCCCAGGATCTTGCAGCAAAGTCAAGGCTGAAACTGTTCCACGTACCCAGACAGGTTCCATGTGCCCTCAACCTCAAGACCTTTCTAAAAGCTACCAATATGGTCCTTCCTTGGCAGGGGCAGTCTCTAAGGGGTATTATAAGAGGTAGCTTGAGGGGCAGAAATGGTCCCACACTTATTCTGAAAGAGAGTCTTGGAATCTGGCCAAGGGGAGGGTTCCTGTTAAAGGAGACAGGTGTGTCCCCATTGGAAATTATTGAAATTGGTTTTAGATAGCAGTCTTGCATATGTTTTGAACTGAAAATGAGCATTGGAGAGGCTGGTGAGCCCCGGGTCACTCTTCCCCTCTTTCATTCATTTGTTCGTTCATGCATCAGTCTCTGCTTTCTCTGGGCAAACCAGGAGCAGGGTGCTGGTCCCCCCAAGAAGAGAACTGGGTCCCAGCACAGGAGGAATATGGAGTCTTACGGAGATCACACCTCACACCCTGGAGGGATGAGTGGGACAGCAGGAAATTCTGGGCCCCAAGGAAGGACCTCTAGGAGCCAGGACAATTACATCCCTGACTCTGAGCAACTGGAACCAGTTCCTGGGACAGGGAACCTCTGGGCTCCTGCCAGAGGGACAGTCAGCTTTCTGCTCTGTCACCATTGGCTGGGTTTCTTTCCAACTGCAGCCCAAGCAGGGGCTATGGAGGGTCTCAGGCATCGAACTGGCCTTAGGGGGCCGGGAGGCTTTTCAGAGGGTGGGGTAGAGGAAAAGGACATTCCTGAGTTGGTCCATGTGAACTGAGACGTGACAGGGTACAGCTCAGCCAGGGAATGTCCACCCAACCAGTGGCCAAAGCGTAGGGTGGCAGAGGAGACAGCTGGAGAGGGGGGAGCAGGGACCGAGCATGATGGGCACAGCATGTCACACTTCATCCCAAGGCCAGTGAGGTGTCATGGTGGGGGGCATGAAGCAGGAAAACGGAACTGCTTTTAGAGCACTTAAGACCTCTCACTTGTAGAGACAGGCGGCTTGTCGAAGGGCATGTTTCTGGTGGGGACCAGAACCAGACGCATGGACTCAGAAACCTAGGTGCGTGCCGTGACAGCTCAGTATTCTGTGCTGTCTCTGGAGGGCTGGAAAAACTTGCTCAGAGGGGTCCCCTGTCTCAGGAGCTGGTTCCAGTTGCTCAGAGGGGATGGCTGAGCAGGGCCTTGACCTCGAAGAGGACTGAGCCAGGAGGAAAGCGGGAAATGGAGGACAGATGGACTTGGGACAGGAGTAGGGGCTGGGCAGGGACAGGCAGCCAGGCACAGGGAGGGCACCAGTAACTAAAGGAGCATGAAGTGTTCCCTGTGCCCAGACTGCACAAGCTGTAGAGAGGGACCTTGACTGAGGGGGTGAAGTAGCTGCAACCAAGGCTCAGGAAGGATGACTGAGCACCAGGTTAGCTCACAGCCTTGCCAAGAGGGCAAAGTGAGATCCAGAATGCAAATGCCATCAAAAAACAGAAGAAGGGTTGCCAAGAGCCGTGCCAGAGCCTCTGGGGAGTATTAGCTGCAGTGTTTAGTGAGCACTTAGTCCAGGCTTGGCACCGCTGCAAGCCTTGTCTCTGGAATATCATTTCCTCCAATTCTCAAGAACCTGGTTTATTACTCACACCCTTCCAGAGGCACAGAGAGATGAAGCTGCTTGCTTACCATCACATAGCCTTCAGGATAGAGCCAGGAGCTAAACTTACACAGGCCCAAATTCTCAGCCCATCACAGCCCTCCTGATGGCTCACTCTACGTCAGCCTGGTCTTCCCAGCCAGGAATGGGGAGCCAGGGAGCCACAGCCTGTAAACAGGAAGTGGCTGAGGTTGGCAGAACCTGTGTTTATTCCTCTGTTTATTGGTTTTTCCTTTCAGAAAGGAGCAGGTGCCATAGCAATATCCCAACAGCGCTGCTTATGCAGGCCCCCAGAGACAGCAACACAGGGCAGCCTGGCAGGCCCTCCCCAGACCAAGGAGGCAGAGTAGGCTGGAGCAAGAACCCAGCAGCCCGTGTCAATATTTGTCTTCTCTCATCCTCCCTGGCCCCAGCAACAAGATCAGGACTTTAAGTACAACAGGTTCTTTGCTGTGCAAACACTCAGGGATAGATTAATGGAATTTAAAGCGGCTCAGGCTTGGCCCCAGGGTTTGGATTGGAAATCTGGTCTGGTTTAACTGTCTGCTGTCACTGTTGGCCCCGGGCTCTCCTTTCATCCTTAGGCTCACAGAGCCACAGACATTAGAGCTAGTAGGGACCTCAGAGGCCGCCAGCCTTTTTTTTTTTTTAACATTTATTTTTTAGTTATAGATGGATACAAATCCCCATTTTATTTTTATGTGGTGCTGAGGATCGCACCCACTGCATCTTAAATGCTAGGTGAGCGCTGTACCTCTGAGCCCCAGCCCCAGCCCCATCAGCCAGGCTTTTGACAAAAGAGAACACCAATCCAAAGCTGCACTGCCTAGTGGTTATTGCTGGGGATTTTGAGGGCCACCCACAACTCCAGACCAGGTAGAAGCAATTTCGCTGAGTCCTAAAAAGGCACACGCACACATGTATTCACACAATAGTCCTTGTTTGTCTGTGGGGATGTACTCCAAAACTCCTAGAGGATGGGCAAATAGCATCAAAACTACATATATTATGTTGTTTTCTATACATACATAGAAAAGTTTGATTTATAAATTGGGCATGATAGGAGATTAATGACAATGACTACTAATAAAATAGCGATATACTGTAATACAGCAATATACTGTAATAAAATTGCCAGTAACAGTTCTCTTGTGCTTTCGGGCATTATTAAGCAAAATAAGGGTTACTTTAATACAACACTGCAATGTCTCAATAGTCAAGGGCTATTAATTTCTAACAGGAGGGTAGTATATACAGTGTGGATATGCTAGGATGTCTTTTTTCTCTGATTACTTTTCAGATTTTCTTTTATCATTGCTTTTGAACAATTATATTATGATGTGTGCCTTGGTGTGGGATTCTTGGTCCAATCTACAAAAAAATTTTTTTTTAATTTTTTAAATATTTATTTTTCAGCTTTGGGCGGACACAACATCTTTGTTTGTATGTGGTGCTGAGGATCGAACCCGGGCCGCACGCATGCCAGGCGAGCGCGCTACCGCTTGAGCCACATCCCCAGCCCCCAATCTACAAAAATTTTGACCATTATTTCTTTAAGTATTTTCTCTGTCCCTCTTCTTCTCTCCTCATAATCTCTAATTACATACATACTGAGCAGTATATGTCCACAGTTCACTAATATTCTGCTCATGGTCTTACAAATTGTTTTTCCTGGGCTGGGATTGTGGCTTAGTGGTAGAGCTCTTGCTTAGCACATGCGAGGCCCTGGGTTTGATTCTCAGCACCACACAAAAATAAATAAATAAAATAAAAGATACTGTGTTCAACTACAACTAAAAAATAAATATTAAAAAATTGTTTTTCCTCTCAGCATTTTATTTTGGATAGTTTCTATTGATCTGTCTTCAAATTCACAGTTTCTTTCTTCTTCAATATTTAATTTGTCATTAATTCCATTGGTGCATTTTTCACTCCGAAGTTTGATTTGGGTCCTTGATATTCTCCATGTCTCTACTTAACTCTTCAACGCATGGAGCACAATTATAGCTATTAATCTCTCTCTCTCTCTCTCTGCCGATTCTAGTATCTATATCAGTCTTGAGTTGATTCAGATAAACTGAGTTTTCTCCTCATTGTGAAGTATACTTTCTTGCTTCTTTTAAATGCCTAGTAGTTTTATTTAAAAAATATTTATTTTTTAGTTGTAATTGGACACAATACCTTTATTTTATTTACTTATTGTTATATGGTGCTGAGGATTGAACCCAGGGCCTTACACATACTAGGTGAGTGCTCTACTGCTGAGCCACAAGCCCAGCCTCCTAGTAGTTTTATTTTAATACAACAGCTTTATTGTGTTATAATGTACATACCATATAATCCATTCATTTAAAATGTACTATTCCATGTGTTTTAGTATATTCAGAGTTGTGCAGCCATCATCATATTCACTATTAAAACATTTTCATCACAACAAATAGCAACCCTTGTAACTATTAACAGTCATCCCCAACTACCCATTCTTAGACAATCACTTTGTTTCTGTAGAATTACTGTATTAGTCAGTTTTTTTTTTTTTTTTTGCCACTGTGACCAAAATACCTGATAAGAACAGTGTAGAAGAGGAAAAGTTTATTTGACACTCAGAATTCCAGAGGTCTGAAATCATGCTCTGGTCCCAAGGTGGAGTAGAACATCATGGTGGAAAGCTGCAGAGGAGGAAAGCAGCTCAGGACATGGCAATCAGGAAGCAGAGAGAGCTCCACTCACCAGGGACAAAATATAAAGCCTTCAGGCACACTCCCAGTGACATACCTCCTCTATTTGCATATAGTTATCACCCAGTAATCCATATTGATGGAGTTATTTTAATATCTATTTATTTATTTTTTAGTTTTCGGCGGACACAACATCTTTGTTTGTATGTGGTGCTGAGGATCGAACCCGGGCTGCACGCATGCCAGGCGAGCGTGCTACCGCTTGAGCCACAACCCCAGCCCATATTGATGGAGTTATACTGATTAGTTGTCTACTGATTCAGGTTAAAGCTTTTATTACTCAGTCATTTCAACTCTGAAAATTTTTGCACCTCACCATTGATGAGGCTGGTTTTGAACTTGTGATTCTCCTGTCGCAGCCTCCTGAGCAGCTGGGATTACAGCATCACCACCTTACCCAGCAGGGATTTTTGCCTTTATACCCTTCACCTGAAATGGGTGTAGTCTTGCCAATTTATGAGATGCCCTCAAACCATCTTTCCTATTGTCTCTGAGTAAAGTATTTAGCATCCTGTTAGTGGCTGCAATGTCTTTAACAACCACAACTTTCTTAACCTCAGTTTTACTCTTATTTTTCTGGCCAAATTTAAAGTTTTTCAAATCTTCTCTGCTTTCTGCTCCTGAATATCACACTAAACTTGACTAAAAGCCACCAGCAATATCCATCCATGCCACCACCTGAATTCTATGCTGCATAGAAATTTATTTCACAAGATTAAGAAATCCATCACCTTTAAATTCATTCTCACAGAAAATCTCGGGACATGGGCAAAATGTAGATGACTTTTTTGCCAGAATAACATGAGTGGCCTCTAGTCCAATATCCAAAAGAGTCCTCCTTTCCCTCTGAAATCCCATGAACCCAGTCTTTACTATCCATAGTCCATTTAGCATTTTAGTCTCCTGAGCTACCACCAGACTCCCACATTAGCTTCCCTTACAAAGTTCTAAAGCTTTTCTGGCTTGCATCTCTAAACTTTTAAAAATTCTTCTCCACAAACCAGCTCCAAAGGCTTCTGAAACACATGGTTATATTAGTAACAGCAATGACCCTAGTCTTTCTATCAATTTCTGTTTGAATCAGCTTTTTCATCACTAAGATCAAAAGACCTAACAAGAACTTAGAAAAAGAAGTTTATTTTGGAGATCATGGTTTCAGAGGTTCATAGATTGCCATAGATGGCTGACTCCATCTCGGAGCCCAAGATGAGGCAGAACATCATGGCAGAAGATTGAGAAGGATAAAAAGCAAGCTCAAGACATGGCAATCAGAAAGCAGAGAGAGCATCACTCACCAGAGAAAAAATATAAACCCCAAAGGCATACCACTATTGACCTATCACCTCCAACCACACCCTATCTTCCTACAGTTACCCCTCAGTTAATCCACGTCGATCTATCATATCAAATAATTTTTATTGGATTCCAGATGTGAATTTTAATGTCTGGTGCTGAATATTTTTTTTTTAAAGAGAGAGATAGATAGATAGAGATAGAGAGAGACAGAGAGAGAGAGAGAGAATGTTTTTTTTAATGTTTAGTTTTTAGTTTTCGGCGGACACAACATCTTTGTTTGTACGTGGTGCTGAGGATCGAACCCGGGCCTCACGCATGACAGGCGAGCACGTTACCGCTTGAGCCACATCCCCAGCCCAAGTGCTGAATATTTTTATTTCTAATAAATATTATTAAGCTTCATTCTGGGACTACAGTTAATTTTCTTGGAACAGTTTGATACTTTAAGGCTTTAGTTTAAAATTTTATTTGGTGGGAAGGATACAAAATCAATATACAAAAATCAATACTTTCCTATACAGCAATAATGAATTTGCTGAAGAAGAAATCAGGAAAGTAATTCCATTCACAACAGTTTTTTAAAAATAAAATACCTAGAAATAAATCTAATCAAGGAAGTGAAAGACCTTTATAATCACGATTATAGAATACTGAATAAAGAAATTGAAGAAGACCTCAAAAGGTGGAAAGACTTCCCATGTTCATGGATAGGCAGAATTAATATTGTTAAAATGGCAATACTCTCAAAAGCAATATCAGATTCAATGCAATCTCCATCAAAATACCGCACATTCTTCACAAAACCAGAAAAAAATGTTCAAAAATTCATTTCAAGGAATAAAAGACCCAGAATTGGGTCTTTTACCAAAAAAATACCAAAAAAATGCTAAAGGCATCACAATACCTGACTTCAAATTATACTACAGAGGTATAGTAGCAAAAACAGTATGGTACTATCATGAAAACAGACACATAGACCTATGGTGCAGAATAGAAGACATAGACAAACACACACACATCTACAATCATCTGATATGTGACAAAGACATCAAAAATATATTTTTAACAAATTGTGCTGGAAAAACTGGATATCCATATGTAGAAGAATGAAATTAGATCTCTATCTCTCACGTTTCACACAGTCAACACAGAAAGGATCAAAAATCTAGGAATTGGACCAGAAACTTTGCAACTGCTAGAAGAAAATGTAGAGTCAGGATTCCAATAAATAGGCACAGGTCACCACTTCCTCAGTAGAACTCCTAAAGGTCAAGAAATAATACTGAGAATTAATAAACACAATAGCACCAATGTAAGAAGCTTCTGCACAGCAAAAGAAATGAGAACATGAAGATAGAACTTACAGAATGGGAGAAAATTTTCGCTAACTACTCTCTGACAGAGGATTAATATCCAGACTATTTAAGAACTCAAAAAATTTAACATACAAAAATCAATAACTCGATCAATAAATGAACCAGATACTTCTCAAAAGAAATACAAATTGCCAGCAAATGTATGAAAAAAATGTTCACCATCTTTAACAATTAGGGAAATGCAAATCAAAACTACATAGAGACTTCATCTTACTCTAATTAGAATGGCAGACATCAAGAACACAAATAACAAGCCAGATGCAATGGCATATGCCTATAATTACAGCAACTTGGGAGACTGAGGCAGGAGGATTCCAAGTTTGAGATCAGCCTCAGCAATTCAGTGAGACCCTGTCTCAAAATTTAAAAATTTAAAAAGGTTGGGAATGTGGCTCAGTAGTAAAGCGCCCCTGGGTTTAAAACCCAGTACAAAAAAAAAAAAGCTACAGTACTTACTAAATGTGTTGTTTTGGTAAGCTACAATATTCCTCTCTATGTCTAACTTCATGAGCACTATGTGGCATGGGATAAAACCAAGTAAAATGTCTTTTTGATAATTCCATAAAACCCTTTGAGATGATCAGGGAAATGGGGTATGGGTTAGAGATTCTCAAGCCAGGAGGGGACCTTAAGTTCACCAAATCCAACCCCATCTAAGTGTTGGTATTGACTATGTACAAACCCTGACAAATAGCCACCCAGCCTCTGCACGCTTCTAACAACAAGGAACTTGCCACTCCTGCTGATTTCCTTTACTTTAGAAATTTCCTTCTGCAACTGTATCTACTTGGTCTTTCATTAATTAGTCCTGGATCCAGAAAACACATCAGGTCCCTCTGCCCCAGGAAAGGCCTTTCTCTGAAAGCAGCAGTCCTTTTCCCTTGAGGCCTTTCAAGCTGCACAGTCCTGAAGTCTTTGGCTTTTCCTATTCAGACCAAAATTTTTAGTCCTGAACTAGACATGTAGAGCTGTACAGGGCCTCCTTCATTTACCTATTACTTGGCTTTGTCTTGCTCCATGGAAGCCAGCATGGTCACTGCCACCCTGAAGGACAAGGACTGGTGCAGCCTGTTGGCCAGTGCCTATTCTCCTTCTAGGGACTTGTTCCTCGAAGCATGTAAGCATGTGCCATGTTGCAATCTTTCTGATATTAAAACCGCCTCCTTCTCTAACAGGTTCTTCCATGGCTACCTTCTCAACTTCAAGCCCAATTGCCTATGTCTATCTCTTTGCTCTCTCTGCCCAGGAGGTAGAGCCAGAGTGCTCCCCGCCATCTTGAAACACTCCCCTCTGGGTTTCCATAATAGTGCACTGTCCTGGTTTTCTCTTTCTTTAGCCATTTCTTCTCAGTTCTCTCTTCCTCTGCTTCCCTTTAAACATTGCCCTTCCCTAGCACTCCATTCTTAGCCAACTCCTCACCCAATTCTATCTTGATGATTTCTAATTTTGAAGGAGTTCCTTTCTTCCCTTTGAGAATGTGATAATGACCATGGATCCTCTCCACAGAATTTGGGGGTGGGGGAGCTCACAACTCAACCCACAACATTTTGCCTATGACTCCAGGTTCTTAACCCAAAGTGTTTCTCCTGCCTGATTTTTTTTTTTTTTTAAGAATCTAACATTTATTTATTTATGTAGTGCTAAGGATCAAACACAGTGCCTCACCCCCACTAGGCAAGCACTTTACCACAGAGGTACAACTCCAGCCCCTCCCTGCCTGATTTTATTCTCACTCCTGGCTTCTTTCCAATCTCTCTCCCAGGCCCAAGGGACTAATAAATTGATAGGGAATACCAGATCCATTCAGTTCCACCACTAAGCTCACTAGCAGCAGTGTTTATTATGGCTCTCCATCACTAAACAGAATGACTGAATGGTAACTGATGCTCCACAAATATGTGCTGAGTAAAGGATTACATCTCACCGCTGTCACCTCTTCTTATCCTTCTGCTTTCCTCACACCCTACCTGGCTCTTCAGGAGACTTCCCCTCCAAGTCATCTTCAAAGATACCTTTCTGAAACACAGATACCTGTCCCCTGCTTGAATTCCTTGCATGACTCCCTATGATTTTCAGGATAAAGGCCTTCCCTAAAAATGGTCCCTGCTGTTTATCCTGGCTTCAATACTTAACTCTCTCCAACACCCACTGGTCCCAGCCACCAGGAACTCCTGAGAGTCTCATGTGGAAACGCTGCCACTCTCTTCCATACCCCACAGAGCCTGGAAGGCCTGACCCCTCTCTTCTGTGATTGCTACCTCATATTCATCCTTCAAACTCACTCACGCATCTTTTAGGAAACATTTCCTGACTTCCAGTTCTTGGTTATTCATTTGAACATTCTGCTGTGTCCCAAGGCAAACTCAATTCACAGCACTGGTCACACGGGAAGTCACTTGCCTGTCCCCTACTTGAGGGCAGGAACGCTGTCTCATTTTCTGAGTCTAACTGGGCCCACAGTAGTTCCCAATAATTTACCACGTAAGTGAAAAGATATCTGTATTAGTCAGAGTTCTCCAGAGAAACAGCACCACAGTGTGTCTCTCTCTATGTGCATATCTGTATTTGTAATCGAAGATTTATATAAGGAATTGACCTATGCAAATGTGGGGGCTGGTAAGTCTGAAATCTGAGGGGCAGGCTAACTTTATAGAAATTCCAGCAAGAGTTGATGGTAAGGTCTTGAATTCAAATGTGGTCTAGAGGCAGAATTCGTTCTTCTTCGGGTGATCTTGGTCTTTTTCTCTGAAGGCACATACATTTTTTTTTTTTAAAGAGAGAGAGAAAGAGAGAGAGAGAGAATTTTTTTAATATTTATTTTTTAGTATTCGGCGGACACAACATCTTTGTTTGTATGTGGTGCTGAGGATCGAGCCCGGGCCGCATGCATGCCAGGCGAGCGCGCTACCGCTTGAGCCACATCTCCAGCTTGGGCACATACATTTTGAAAGACAATCTGCTTTACTCAAAGTCTACTGATTTAAAAGGTAAACTCATATAGAAAATACCTTCACAGGGCTGGGGATATAGCTCAGTGGCAGAATGCCTGTTAATATATGTGAGGCCCTGTGTTTCACCCCGATCACCACAAAAATAAAAATACTTTCACAGCAACATCTAGACTGGCCTCAGACTAAATAGCTGGGCACCATATCATAGCGAATTTGTCACGAAAGATTAACTATCAAAATGAGTATGTTCTTCTCTGAATCTCAGCCTCCCCATCTGTAAAACAAAGAGCTATGATAATGTTCTAATTGGATAATGTCTGGATTAGAATTTACAGATTTTTTTTTCTGGTACTAACAATTGAACTGAGGGCTTTGCGTGTACTAGGCAAGTGCTCTGCCACTGGGCTTCATCCCTTATTTTTAATTTATTATTTATTTATTAGAATCTCTCTCAGTTGCTGAGGTGGCCTCAAGCTTATGGTCTTCCTGCCTCCAAAGTAGCTGGGATTATAGGTGTGTGCCACCATGCCCGGCTAGACTTTATAGTTTAAAGTACTTTCACTAATGTCATTTAATTCCTACAATTCTATCAAGCAAGTTTGTTACTGTCTTCTTTATACAGTTGACAAAGAAAGAGATTTTTCAAGAAGTGGCAGAAATGGGCTAGAGCCTGGTTTCCCTGATTCCCAATCTAGAGATGATCTTTCTGGGCTTGAAGAACTGTCTTTGAGAGTTGATAGAGGGCAGAAGTCTCCAGGAGCAGGAAGCAGAGGAAGGAGTAGAGGGGCCTCTACTATGGAAACTCAGACCACAACAATAGGATGTCCAAATGAGCCAGGTAAGGCCAACCCAGGAATTCCTGAATGTAGTTTCTCTTCTGTGATCTAGAGAGCACAGGTATGGTCAGGAGTACACACCTGATGTATTATGAAAAACTATCAACTCAGGGTTTACTACAATGTTCAAAAAGTAAAGGCAGTAAAAGATGAATATTAAAGGCTTGAAAAGTTGAGGCCCTTGCTCTTTGCTCGCTGGGAGTCACACAGCTCTGAAAGTTGCCAGATTATTCTCCTACAGATCTATTCCAAAGCTTGGGCTTCATGCTCCTCCTGGACCCACATTACAAGCTAGGGTGCAAGGCCACCTGGTGAGGTGTCCTATTTATTTTGACTTGGTGTCACCTTTGTTTATTTATAATCCTCCAGAAGTGTATGGCTAATTTAACAATGAAAAGGACAGTGGGGAGAATTCCAAGATGAGAAAAAAGTCTGCAAGGCACCTCTGCAAGACTTGTGAAGAAGCCAAATTCTCCAAACTGCCAGTGACTGGGGAGGCTAAGCACTCAATCCTTCCACTTTCGGAGGCTTTCCTAGTCCCTTGCATTTTCCTGTGTCCAGAGGCGGCAGGGTAGCAGTCACTCCCTGCCCTTTTCAGGATCTAGAGGCCACTATTTGATCTGGTTCTTGGCCTCTTCATTGTGTCGCTCCAACCTCTTGCTTCCATCATCACGTCTCCTGCTATGACTTGGGCCCTCCTGCCTCTTTTTAAAAATTTTCTGTTATTGATAATGGGGATTAAACCCAGGGGTGCTTAACCACTAAGCCACATCTCCAGCCCTTTTTATATTTTGAGATAGGGATTTGCTAAGTTGCTGAGGCTGGCTTTGAACTTTGGATCCTCCTGCCTCAGCCTCCTGAGCAACTGGGATTACAGGGGTGTTATCCTGCGCTGCTTCTCTTTTGTAAGGATCCTAGTGATTACGTAGAGCCCATGGGGACAATCCAGGATAATCTCCTTCAGAGCTGGGGATATAACTCAGTGACAGAGCACTTGCCTAGCCCTGGATTCAATCCAGGCCCTGAAAAAAAGTCTCCTTTGCAAATTCCTTAATCATAATCATCACTGTTCCCGTGTAACAAATTCACAGGTGCTGGGGATTATGACATGGACATCTGTAGGGAGCCATTATTTAGTTTTCCATGTTGGGTACAATGTACATGGAGGTTTGTTTTATTCTACTTTTGAATGTTTGAATAGAAGTTATGAAGGAAAACTTTTAACCCTAAGACCCCAGTTATCATTGAATTTGAAATTTATACTCCTTTATATAATTTCTTGAAAATTTCCTGTATTTTCAATTTCTCATCTTGCATTTCTCTAACCTATTCCAATCAGGCCTTTAATATTCACCTTTACCCTGAACTCAGTCGAGACCATAGGTTTGACTCCACATTGACAAAGCTAATTCTGTCTTCATCTGACTTGACTCGTCAACACAATTCATTTTTTTAAAAATATTTTTTTTCACTTACAGATGGACAGGATACCTTTATTTATTTTTATATGGTGCTAAAGACTGAACCCAGTTCCTCACACATTCGAGGCAAGTACTCCACCCCTGAAACATAACCCCAGCCAACGATTCATTCTTTTTTGTTGAAATATTTTCATTTCTAGCCTTATATTGAGCCCTTTTCTGGTTTTATCTCCAGCCTCAACATCTACTCCTCTTTCTTAAGAGTGGGAAGGCCCTAGGCCTTCTTTTCCTTTCCCCCGTCCCTTCAATGTGCTAAGCATTTTCCACCTTACTTCTACACTTCTTTCCTTCCCTGAGGCTCTCTTCTCCCAGATGTAATTCTTCTTTAACCTTCTAAATTGATTAAAAATCTAAATGAATTCTTTTCATTCTTATCCCTCAATGTACCTTCACCCTCATTCATTTCCTTTAAAGGACTTGTAATCTCCTCAAAGGCAAATACTTGTTATGAGTTGAATCCTTAAAACCTGGTCTGTTATACTTTCAATAGATAATTTTATTTTTTTGTGTGGTTTTGGGATTGAATCCGGGGCCTTGGCCTTGTAAATTCTATCACTGAGGTAAATTCCCAGCCCCAATAGTTTTCAAATAAATGAAAAACCTGCACCATATTTGCATTTTTTCATAAATTTCAAAAACCAGAGTTTCTGATATGACCCTAGACAACAGGCTACCTTTACAAAGACAGAACCTTGAATAGCTTGGGATAGCAAATAAAACACATATCTGATCCTAGATTGACCTTCAGAGCATTTCCAAATATCAAACCAATATACTCCAGTTCTTGAGGCATTTTTTCCCCTTCCTTTTAATTGCCTGTAGTCTGCTGTTAGCTTGCTTTTTAAAGATAGATGGTCTAGGGCTCGGGATATAGCTCAGTTGGTAGAGTGTTTGCCTTGCATGCAGCAGGCCATGGGTTTAATCCCCAGCACCACATACACAAAAACATGACAAAATAAAATGTAAGCCCTGTGTAGTCACATTAGAAAAGTAAAAATGGGTCCAAGTACTTGTAGATTAAAACATTATCAGTACTTGAAGATGTAATTCATACTTTTAGGTATTAACTAAGTCTCTGACATCTTACAGCCAATACTCAACGCAGCTAGGGAATACCAAATTGGGACAGTGAGGTCTAGAGCCTTGCTACTCAGTTCGGTCCACAAGCAAACTGGTACTACCTGGACACTTGTTAGAAACTGAATCTTAAGTCCTATTGAATCTGCATTTGAACAAAAGCCCCAGGTGATTTGCATATACAAAAAAGGTTGAGAAACATGGGTCTAAGGCAGAGGTAAGCAAACTATGGCCCACAGGCCAACTCTAGTCAATCACCTGTTTTTGTACATAAAATTTTATTGGAATACACCTCCATTCAATTATTTATTGTATATGGCTGGTTTTGTGCAGAGCTAAGTAGTTACAATTGGAATTTTATGGCTTATATAGTCTAAAATATTTATTATCCATCCCTTTCCAAAAGTTTGTCTCAAGGAAAAAAGAAGCCTCTGCCTCTTAGGCAAGACACTGGACTCAGTTATTTGCTTGAGATCAAATGTAAAGATTCCTGGTGGTTTACTTAACATACTTAATGGATGGGATTCTAATAAACGGTTACATTTAAGGCAATGTAACAGAATGGGCTTTGGAGTTGGCTAGAAAGGAGTATAAATTCTGTCACTTATAAACTCGGTGAACTTAAACAAGTCATTTAACTTGAAGCTGATTTTTTTTTTTTTTTAAACTCTAATTGGGGCTAGTACCTATCCTCCATGGTTGGTGTCAAGGACAGGACATGCCACAGAGGAGACATTCAATAATTGATAGCTACATTCACATATGTAGCCTATTAGCCAAGGCAATTGTAGGAGTAACAAACCAGGATAAGCAGCCTTGTTAGCTCACGTGGTCTTCTATCCAGTGTGATTTCCTGTGGCTCCAGTCCATCATTCACAAGCAGAATTTAAGGACAGCAAAACGGTTTATTTGAAAAAATTACTATGTATTGAAAATATACATTAGAAATTATTACATACTTCCATAGCATTCCCCTCCCCCACCACAAAAGTAGAAATATCTGCTTGCTACGCTAATGCCGTAGGTAAATTCAAACAAAAAGTAAGTCATCATCAGTCTCCTTTTCTCATCCATTAGAGCTGAGAGGACAAGGTCAACTTGTATCTGCCAGTCAGTAGGAATTTAATAAGTCCCAGTCTTCCACAGCAAGACATACATATTTTTGCTTTGAAGACTGTGAAGAATTATTCTGTTCCTTCTCTGACTCCTCAAAAGCTCTCTTCTTGCTCTTCTTTGACTCTTGGCTCTCTGTGGCTTCACGTTTTAACAATGGCCCATGGCAGTCTGGGGCTTTCTCTTTATAGAACTGGAGTTTTCCAGAAGAGTTCATGTGGGAGTCTGCCAGGGGACACTTCCTTGAGGCTTCCATCAGAGCCCGCTTCCGATCTATAAGAGTGACAAAGGACAGGGTAATGAATCTACTAAGCTGGAATGCTAAGGACTGCTTGAATCCAGAAATGACCCCAGGGAAATGACAAAGGCCCAAACAGGGAGAGGTCTGGTTAACTACATCTTGTTGAGTGCCTGTGAAGTAACAGTGGTATGTCCAGCACAGGTTGAAGACATGGACTCAGACTGGATAAATGAGTTTGAGCAAGTAAGTTGGCTAAGATTCAGTTTTCTCTCCCTTCTAGGAATATAAGACCTATTTCATAGGGTAATATAAAGATAAATGAAATAATGTAGATAAAGTGCTTAGCACAATGCCTGGCACACACTAAAAGCTCAAAAATTATAAGTAGTAACAACTACTTAAAATCTGGACTTATCACACATTAAAACTAACAATTGTTATTCAAAATCTGGACTTGACTCTGCATCTGAAGAGCCAAATCTGTGGTACAACTCCAGCCAACAATAAATATTACTTCATATTTTCTTAATATGTCTGGATTCGAAGTCTGATACCTATGTTTTCTTCACTTTGATTTCATCACCTAATTTCTCCTTTAAAATTGTGGTAAAAATACACATAAAATTAACCATTTTAATCATTTTTAAAGTATGAAGTTCTGTGGTATTAAGCACATTCACAACATGCAATCACTGCTATCTCCAGAACTCTTTATTTTGAAAACTGAAACTTACCCTGTAACTATTAAATAGTCACTCCCTACTCTCCCCTCACCCAAGACCTTTTTTTATTTTTCCAGTGATGCTGAGATCAAATCCAGGGGACTCCTCACACATGCTAGGTGAGTGCTCTGCCACTGAGCTACATCCCCAGCCCCTCTTTCACCTTTTGGCTATTCTTAATTCCTGTTTAATTTGTTTTTGTGTCATCACAAATCTTCTTTGAAACATGATATAAATAAATAATTCTAAAAAACTATCTTGCTGGTGAGTGCTGGCGATCAAAACTTAAGTGTGAATTTACACTGCAAGTTATGATGATGGAATACAAGTCTTGATGACAGTAAATAAGCCAATACTATTTATTAATTTTCCCACTGTGAGGACAGGCTGATGATTTGAAAGGTACAAAACCCAAAGGGCAAAAATTAAAAAAAAAAAAAGGGGGGGGGGAATTTCTCACAAAAGTACTGAGTTGCCTCTCGAGGTTCGGGGACTTTTCTGGGTTTCTTGGCCTCCACCGTCACACGTTCCCACTGCAGAACAATCTAAAAGGTTTTTGGAAAAATTTAAATCCACACAAAATCTCAAGTTTTTAATCTCAAATGCTTCCCAATCCATTTGTTTCTTTTCCATCAACACAAACCCCTTGTAAAAAATTTTATTTCAGATGATTCACAATAAGAATAAGAACCAGATATTCTGTTCTCATGTAAGTTGAATGAGAATACACGTTGAATATATATATATATATATATTTTTTTTTTTTTTAGGAGTCAGGCAAGTCTATAAATCTGACTATTTCCATTCTTAGTCCAAGCTAGAAATAAACTGCACATCCTTAAATACCAAAATATAAAACCTTAGTCATAATACTTTTCATACATTTCAAACCCCCCAATGCCTTAAAATGTACCTCCTCTTATGTTTCCATATTCCTACAGTTTCCTTTTTTTTTTTTGCTGTTACAATTTTTTTTACTATAAGCTACTATAAATTCTTAAAGCAATTTGAATGAATATAAATTATATACAAATAAATGAAAGAAAAGTAAATGATAATTTCAATACACGGAAAATAACAAAAACTTTGCATTTAATAGTTCTCATTATGGCATGCAATCAAATGATCATAAAGAATAACATTTTCACAACACAAAAGCAGTACAACAGAGTTTAAGAATGGTTCTAGAGTTACTCACACCACTTTCTAGCCAGAGAAGCCTTGGCAAGAAATTTCATTTCCTCCTCCTTTTTTATTTTTTTTTATTTTTGGTACCACGGATTAAACCCAGGGGTGCTTAACCACTGAGCAACATCCCCAGCCCCTTCATTACATTTTATTTAGAGACAGGGTCTTGCTAAATTGCTTAGGGCCTTGCTCAGTTGCTGAGGCTGGCTTTGAACTTGCGATCATCCTGCCTCAGCTTCCTGAGATGCTGGAATTACAAGGGATTTAATTTCTGAGTCCCAATTTCTAATTGGGATTAATAATTATATATATTCCATAGAGCTGTTACAAGGATTAATAACACAGAGTTTAGCACAATGTCCTATTAAAGAAAGTATTTCATAAATATTCACTGCGGACCCTCCTATATTTTTTCTGGCTATAGAAAATGGGAACAGGCGGGTGCAGTAGTGCATACCTGTAATCCCAGTGGCTTGGGAGGCTGAGGTAGGAGGATCACGAGTTCCAAAGCCAGCCTCAGCAAAAGCAAGGTGCTAAGCAACTCAGTGAGACCCTGTCTCTAAAAAAAAATACAAAATAGGACTGGGGATGTGGCTCAGTGGTTGAATGTCCCCGAATTCAATCCCTAGTACCCCCTGCCTCCCCCCACAAAAAGAAAGAAAATGGGAACAGATTGAAGGCTACGATGGACTAACTGAACCTGCTGATTTAGTGGGAAATAGGAAAATTTTCCTTTCACTAACAAAAATGTCAATACGAAGAGCTAACTGGGGAGAGAGGAGAAGAAAATGATTTTGTTCTAGGTAAGACTAACTTGAAGTGCCAGGCAGAGATTTATGGAAAGTATTTGGGAATGGGCCTGAGATGGTAGAGTCATTCTCATAGGGATAGTTACGATCCTGAGTAAAAGATAAGATCACTGTGGGAATGAGTAAAGACGTAAGAGAGAGGAAGGAGGAATTACCCAAGAGAGAAAAACCCTAAGGCATCCATGTTTACATCACATGCTGCAGAAAAGTCAGGGAAGGTGAAGAAGGAGGTCATCTGCTACACTCAATGGAAGCCAGAACTGACTGCATGGGGTTAGGAACTGAGATGGCAGTGAACAGGAAAGAGGAATAAGAACAGGAAACAGGGCTGGGATTGTGGCTCAGTGACAGAGTGCTCACCTGGCAAGTGTGAGACGCTGGGTTTGATCCTCAGCACCATATAAAAATAAATAAGTAAATAACATAAAGGTATTGCGTCTACCTACAACAACAACAACAACAAAAAAGAACAGGAAACAATGAAAGCTGGGGAAGCCAGGCACAGTGGCACACACCTGTAATCCCTAAAACTCAGGAGGCTGTGGCAGAAGGATTGCAAGTTCAAAGCCAGCAAAGGCAATTTAGCAAGAACCTATATAAAAATAAAAAGGGCTGGGGATGCAGCTTGGCTGTAGAGCACCCCTGGGTTGAATCCCTAATACTGGACAGAGGAAAAAGTTGCATGTGGGGGCGGGGGGGGGGGCGGGGAGGAGATGGAGAACATGTCAAAAAAAGGAACAAACTACCAAAGAGTGACATTGTCTATGTGGTGGCAGAAAAGTAGGAGGAAATAATTATTAGTAAATATCACAGAGGAAACTGGAGACATTCAGGTATAGACTAAAAAAAAAAAAATGAAGAAATAAAGGGCTTGACACCGAAATAAAGTAGTGTGCCTGGTTCCCTCAGACAGGAGGGAAGTAGAATATGACTGAAGAAATGGAGAAAATTTGAGACAGAGATAGAAAAAAAGTAGACTTCTGTTACATGGCCTCATTCTTTAGCACCTGCTAAGAATGACAGTAGGAGGAGAATGGGGTCAAGCTCAAGTGCTTTCTGTAAGGGAACAGAGAAAAGGAAAAGCACTGCTACCAAGCCCCAGGGCAGCTGCACCTGCCCGAAGAACTTACTTTCAGGACAGACTGATAGGTATTTTACTTGATCCTTACAAGCCCTCTTTGTAAGAGAAGTTTGGTTTTTCATTTTACGGATAGAGAAAAAAATACTCAAAATTGTCCTAGGTCATACAGCTCTGGGGTTGTTGAGCCAAGATCCCCAACCCAGTGCTCTCTGACTCCACCAAGCCACCTGTTAACAAACTTCATCAAGCCTTTATGTGACCATCCCACACCCACTCCAAATTCATTGGATGCATCCAGAATTCAACCAGTTTTAAACTGGCAATTATTTTATTATGCATGTTTTAGATTAAACTCAAAGTCTTTGTTTCTGAAAGGCTGACTCACTGGTCTCCTTTCTTATCTACCTACAGGGAGGTGATGCTACCATAAGGCCGCTAGATAGATTCATCATCATGCAGTAGGTCTTGGAGTTAAGGAGAGAACCAGGACAAAAGAGTTTGATAGGTCCTCTAAGCCTCTATCAGGAAACATTTGTCAAAAACATTTGAAGGCAAAAGGCACCAGCCACAGGCAAGCTGGCATTTTGCTCATGCTGCCCTACTTCATTATTTGACTTCTTACTTAAGTCTCTACTTTGCCAAGTTGAGAAAACCTATCAGAAAGACAAAAGTCAAAGTTAAGTTTTTTCACTGGCAAGATTCAGTGAAAGAAAGACCAAGACATTTCTTTACTAAGGCTCTGGGAGGTAAGAAATGTGCCCAAAGGAAAGGGAAGATTGGATTTAAATCCATACCAGGTGACACCAGAGTTTATTCTCTTTCCAACATAAACATACTGTTAAGTGAATCTTTCCTGAAGTTATGTAAGACTGCTTTTTTGCACAGCGAACCAAAATTCACTTTTGAATTTGTTTTCAGTCGTTTGTAAAGGGGCATTTTTTCCTATATTCAGTAAAGATTTGGCACAATCTAAGGACCAGAGTATTGAGATAGAAGGTCTGGCATCCAACACTAACTCCTTAAGTAGATGAGTCAGTTACCCCATTACTGTTTCCAATTTGACATGAGATTGACAATTCAGCCAAGAAATATCAAAAGGATTAATGTCTGCTCAATGTGTTGTTGTATAAGACATGTGGTATTAAAATGAATAGCTATATTAATTGTAGGGGAGAAAAATGTGGAGTACCTGATCAGCCCAGCCCTCTGTCTTACAGTTACTGTGATCAAATTCCTTCAAAGGCACTTTGGAGTGAATGAGGCCTATGTGGGTCTGGAGCTTCTGTTTGACAGCATTGATGTCCTAGAGAAAGAGAGACCAACCAGAAATATAAGCTGTTACTAAGTAGCTTTATACAAAGTTGTGTAAATACACCTCCAAGAGAGTTGCTGAGTGACAAGAGCAAAGTGCTGGATCATGATGATATGCATGCTATCGACTGTAGCCAGCAGTGACCTGATTACATAGACTATCTCTAGAAGGATATACATTTGGTCAATTCTTACTTGTTTTAAGTAGCAAACGAAGATCATCATAAATACCAGCCTTTTCTAAACACCAATTAGCAGGAACAAAATATTAATCAAGACTTGGGAAAAACAAGAGAAGCAACTTAAAGTCTTACTTACCTTGAGCCCTGTCCCAGAAATATCTAAGCAGTTTAATTTTTTAAAAGAAAGGAGGTATCCAATTCCTGCATCTGTGATGTCCGGGTTACCTAGATATCAAAAACAAGGTGACCATCAGTTATAATATAACTGCTGCTAAAATGCAAACTATAACCTCAGAAAAAATGTCCAGGCAATAATAAACTATAAAATATTGAGTGAGCAAACTCTTCAGAGTAAGTTAAACATAATGGTCTTATCTTTTCTATTTTCTATTTTGTAACACGAAACAGCCACACTAGGTGGCTCCTAGGAGTTGGGGAGAAACAGAAAAATAAATGAACCAAGTAGTTATCCCAAAGGGTTTAATTAGGAACCATATGAAAACAGCACAAATAAACATGTGTTAAAATGGTTCATCATTCATGGCCATTTCACCTCAAAAGTAAAAGCACTTATTTATCTTAAAAAGATCTGCAAGGGTATTTTAAACACAGAAGCTATCACTACTCTTACTAAATTGTATTTTTTTCCAGAATCTTATTACCTTATCACATCAGAGAGTACTGCATTTAGTATTGTCCTCTCGGACACAAGCACAGTGCCTGGCACACCGTAGATGCTCAAAAAATACTTGTTGGGGGTGTAGCTCAGTGGTAGAGCACTTGCCTAGCATGCTCGAGGTCCTGGGTTCGATCACCAGCACCACAAAAAAAAAAAAAAAAAAGAAAGAAAGAAAAAGAAAAAAGAAAAGAAAACACCTGTTGAATGAATATACTTCTCTGGAAGATAGGGTAGAGCACTTATTATTCTCATTTTTACATAGGTTCAAACCAATGCTAAGATAATATACCCAAGGGTATATAAGCGGCTAGTAAAAGTAGCAGAGCAAGACCAGTCCTCTGACCTCACATCCCAGGCTCCTACTCTTCTGGCACCACACCAGCCTGTTACAAATTCAGTGGATACTCAGTCAAACTGTAAATGACCTGATGATTTCCTATCATTGGAATCAATATCCAGCTAATCCTGAGTATGTTACCTACCACAAGTGTGGAGTCTTGCAGCTTTTCATCAGGTAGACTTATAAGACAAAAAAGACCTAACATTTTATCAAGATAAAGAGACTCAAAGAAAGTAGTGCCAAATGTCCTTTGTGCACGCTATGAATGTGATGGAAAGCTGCCTGGTGCCTTCCATCCACAAAGTGGCATGGATAATCTGAAAGGGCTTTTCCTGCCCTCTTGAGAAGGGGCACTATGCTGGAAAAGGCATTGGGCCCAGAATCAGGGCCTCTGGCTTTAGTCTTATTCTGCCACTCACTTGTTATGGCACCTAGGAAGAGCACTTCTAAAACAAAGAGAACTAGATAATATCTAAAGCCATTCTTCCAACATTAATAACCTACAATTGTCAGTAAAACTTACAAGATAAGTCTAGCAGTGTTAGGTTCTCAAGACCTCTTTTCATCACTCGAACTGGAGCTGTCATTTTCCGCACCCCCGCATCAGATAAACAATTATCCTTCAGGTGGAGCTGAGTTACACTGGGAAAACAAAGCCCATAAATAATTTATTTAAACATGCTTTCAAACATTTCATTTAAAAATATAAAACCACCTTACCCTCTGCTGTGTCACACCCAATGCACTGAACAGTTAAGGCTCTTTTGGTGCTACTGCAGTTATCAAGTGAGGAACTCAAGGGTCAAAGTGTCATGCAGTACTACTCTCAGATGGCAGAGGGCACCAAAGGAATACGGGTATTAGGTAAAAAAGGTCTTCCATTAAGGGGACAAATATACCTTTAACATAAAAAACTGCATTTTTGGACCAACTGTGTGAAAAACCAAAAACATTCTCAACAGGTCAAGAAAGCCTGCAAAAGAATTCCTGTAAGAATTCTATGCTTTATGCATCCAGATTTTCAGATTGGGCTTATTAGGCTATAGCCATAATCTAATCCAACTAGTTAACATGAAACTGATGTAGTAACATGCTACACTGTCCTTCATTAAGATATATGAGCCTTGGTGCTAGCAGCCTCACATAAAATGACCTCTGTACAGGGCACTATGCAGGTATCACTTTCAGAAGGTAGCCCCACATAGCAGATGTAAAAAGCTGTTTCATTCCATGGTGTTGAAGAAACTATACAGGAACCCATCTGGCCTCCACTCCTCTGGCCAAACTGAGTTATTTGAGATCAGCTAGGTTATCTGTGAATGGTATGAACTGAGCTATTTCTTTAAATTATGGTTCTTGAAAAGGTTGTCTTTAAAAGTTGATTTAGGACCTAGGAATTAGTCCAGAGATCCTGAGCCTAAAAGAGGAAAAAGTAGGCCCGTATCTTCATCATGTTGGATTAGGCCCTGACTTCCTTAACAAGACTCCTAAAGCACAAGAAATAAAATCAAGAATTAACAAATGGGAGGACTCAAATTAAAAAGCTTCTTCTCAGCAAAAGAAACAATTTAATGAGGTGAACAGAGAGCTTGCATGTTGGGAGCAAATTTTTGCCCCCCACACATCAGATAGAGCACGATTCTCCAGGATATATGAAGAACTCAAAAAACTTAACACCAAAAAAATAAAAAACCAAACAACCCAATCAATAAATGGGCTAAGGAGGTGACAGACACTTCTCAGAAGAAGAAATACAAATGGTCAGCAAATATATGAAAAAATGTTTAATATATCTAGTAATTAGAGAAATGTAAATCAAAACTAAGATTTCAGGGCTGGGGTTGTGGCTCAGTGGTAGAGTGCTCACCTAGTAGGTGCGAGGCCCTGGGTTTGATCCTCAGCACCACATACAAATAAATAAATAAATAAATAAATAAATAAATAAAATAAAGGTATTGTGTCCAACTACAATTGAAAATTAAAAAAACAACAACAAAAAAACCACTACCCTTAAGATTTCATCTCACACCAGCCAGCATGGCAGTTATCAAGAATACAGACAATAATAAATGTCGGTGAGGATGTGGGGAAAAGGCACACTCATACATTGCTGGTGGGACTGCAAATTGGTGCTTCCAATCTGGAAAGCAGTATGGAGATTCCTTAGAAAACTTGGAATGGAACCACCATTTGACCCAGCTATCCCACTCCTTGGTCTATACCCAAAGGACTTAAAATCACATACTATAGTGATGCAGCCACATCACAGCAGCTCAATTCACAATAACTGTGGAAGCAACCTAAATGTTCTTCAATAGATGATTGGATAAAGACACTGTGGTATATATGTACACAATGGAATATTACGCAGCATTAAAAGAAAGTAAAATTATGGCATTTGCAGGTAAATGGATGGAGTTGGAGAATATCATGTTAAGTGAAGTAAGCCGACAAGTGGATGCTGATCTATAATGGGGAGGGGGGAGGCATGGGAAAAATGGAGGAACTTTGTGTAAAGGGGAGGGAGAGAAGGGAAGGTTCACAGGGGCAAGAAAGATGGTGGAATGACATGGACGTCATTACCCTAGGTACATATATGACTGCACATATGGTGTGACACTGCATTGTGTACAACCACAGAAATGTAGGGTTGTGTTGTAACTGTGTACAATCAATCAAAATGCATTCTGCTGTCATATATACCTAATTAAACTAAATAAAAATTTTTAAAAAGCTGATTTTCTTTATAGTTTACAGCTCAATAACACTTAAAAACAGCAGATAATAATGTTTATGGGAAATGGTGTAACTTCTCATCTCTCGTTAGAATAAGATAACAAAAGGCAAAAATTTATAACCCAGGTAGCTTCAAGTCCATGTTGAAATAAAGGTTATTTAGAAAAAAGAACCAACTGACTGACTTTCCTAAGGATTGCGCAAATGATATTGCTTGTACCAAGCAAGTGGAGGTTTTAATTTGTTTTAGGGAAAAAAAAAATCAAAACCAAATCAACAACTAGCAAATAACTACAGGAATGGACATCGTTAAAAATGTAAAACATTTCTTCCACAAGCAGTGGCAGGTCTGTACCTGGACAGGGCCTCGTTAGTGAGATGTTCTAGAAGTTCATGCTCATCTCCAAGCTTACAACAGGAAAGGTCCAGGCGAGTCAGCTCCCGGAAAGACTTAATCTCTTCAAGTTTTTCTGAAATCACCAGATACCTGTGGAGTGTGGAGAGCAATCAACAGCTTTTCTTTTCCTTCCTTTAGAACATTGAAGTTTGTGGCTTTGTGCTAGTCAACATCCCATCATCTCTTCTTCACTGATGACACTTGGGCATAGTTTGAATTATTTATTTATTTATTGTTGTAGTTGGACACAATACCTTTATTTTATTTGTTTTTATGTGGTGCTGAGGATCAAATCCAACGCCTCATACAGGCTAGGCCAGCACTCTACTGCTGAGCCACAACCCCAGCCCACAGTTTGAATTTTTAAATTAGTAAATGCCTCAAAAGGTTTTGCATACAGTAGTGGAATAAACATTTCAAATAAATAAAAGTATATGAGCTGGGCACGGTGGTACATGCCTATAATCCCAGCAACTTGGGAGGCCAAGGCAAGAGGATCACAAGTTGTGAAAGCCAGCCTCAGCAACAGCAAGGCACTAGGCTTATTTTAGAGACCCTATCTCTAAATAAAACACAATATAGGGCTGGGTTTGTGGCTCAGTGGTCAAGTGCCCCTGAATTCAATCCCCAGTACCTCCCTAAAAAAAAGGTATATGAGCAAAGGCCAGTCACAAGAGGAAACATCTGTTTTATTAGACAAGATAAATCTTGGCATTAGTGTTAGGACCTTCTCTAAAAACTTACAAACTTTAGGATATTCAAAGTTTTAAGTATTCACTCTTTCAAAGTTGTTTTTTTTTTTTTTTTTAATCTGATCTTCAAAATCCAGTGATTTCAAAAAAGCCAGGAACTCTTGAGTTGTAATCTGCACATCCCTAAAGAATATCCCAAGCAGGCTGGAGATGTGGCTCAAGCAGTAACACGCTCGCCTGGCATACGCGAAGCGCTGGGTTCCATCCTCAGCACCACATAAAATAAAATAAAGGTGTTGTGTCCACCGAAAACTGAAAAACAAATACTAAAAAATATTCTCAAAAAAAAAATATCCCATGAGATATTTGGCAGATCACATTTTACCTTTCCTCCTCACACCTAAGCCTGAACACCTATCCATTCCACTGTAACTCTGTCACCCTACTAACCACTCCACTAGATGCTTATTAAGACAAATCATAAGCGCAAGCAACTTAATTACAATTTGGAGCACCTTGCCAAAGTTATCAGGAAGCATCAGGGAGGCCTCTGAAGAGGAAAAGGAGATCAAAACAGCATTCCACAGCCCAGGCTGGGCCTCACCCCACCTTCCAGTTGTTCGTCTATTTCAGATGAGGTCAGTGAGAAAAAATGAAAGGGATTAGGTGTGACAGGAACCAGAGAGGAGAGGATCCTAAGGGACCAGGGAAACTGACTGGTGGCAAGAGCACTCCATTCTCATCTACTTTCTTCCTGGAGATCTCTAAATTTCCACAGCAGGATGGTGTGCCAGGATCAGTGGGGTTATACCTAAGAGTTCACATCTTTCTTCCATCGGCAGTATAACTGCCAAAACCAGAATGGAATAATCAGAATGCAAGAGGCTAGTTGGATCACTTTTCTTTCTACATCCAACCAAAATCAGATGTACTGGAACCAATCAATGGCCTGACTGCTAGGTACAGATGACTCGAGGCACTGGTACCTTTTTAAACTGTGGAACCTAAGCTGCATGAAGACTTGAGTTCAGCTGGGTACACAAATGAGCCTTATTTACTCAGATGTATTTTAATTGCACTGTAAATAAAGCTGCTGTTTTCCACCTTCCAATCACAGAGTTGAAGTATATTAATGGGGATTTAGGGGATTACTGGCAATCAGAGAGAGGAAAACACACATCCTTTGATCAATTAACCAAAAGATTTTCAGTAATTCTAAAACAAGGGTTATTTGTAAAGGATATAACACTGTGCAACGTGATTAAAAACATTACAAAATCAAGGCTGAGGAAACTATATGCTAGACCATAGAAAATACCAGATGCTTATCTAGTACATACTCAAAGCTCCCAGTTCTTGTTTGCAACTGGTCTTCCAATTTGACCTTTAAAGGGTCAGAACAGTATAGTGGAGAAGCAACAGAAAAAAACACAAACATATTCAATGCCAGAAGACCTGAGTATGGATTCTAGAACCTTAATTACTTCTGCAATTTTGAGAAAGTTACTTTAGCTTTCTGAGCATCAGCTTCTCCAACTACAGAATGGGGCTTTTAATTTTCTTCTCAGAACTAAGAAAATCAGAAACAGTATTTTAAAAGTATATGACATCTTATAGGCCCCTCATTAAAAGGTAGCTATTATTATAACTTCAGTAACACAGGGATCTATTTTAAGGAAAACATACTTGTATCCCTGTAGCCACCAGTGGAATTAAAATCACTAAAGTTTTAACACAGTGGAAAGAGAAAATTTTTGTAGAGTTGGAACCCAGTTGCAAAGACACTGGCCTCTCCTTCTGACAGGCAGCTTTGTGATCTCACCCAAGACAGAACTGCCTGCACCTACCCTTTTACCTTATTTTCTCAAGCTCATTCCCTTTGACCTGACCTCTTTTGTGCTGGTAAAACCTCTGCAGCTGTAACTTCAGCCCTGGATTGCAAACACAACCACAGACTTTCTACCCTCTTTTTTCCTTTGAAGAGGCAAAAGAAGAGAGTTTTGGGTTTTTTGAGTTTTTTTTTTTTTAAACTCTTATTTGAAAAGTTTTACTCAGATCTGAATGATAGTAAAGTTTAAAATTATTGTGTCAAAATAACATCCCAAATATTACCTTAAAAACATTTCCTACATTTTCTTTTATAAATGTAATACATGCTCATGAGAGAGAAAAAATTAATATGGAAAAGTATAGAGAAAATTTAAAAAAACTGCAATCCCACCGTCTAGACTATATTTTGGTGAGATTTTCTCTTGTCTTTCTAAATGTGCAATCTATCTATCTATTTTGGTTGTTCTGGGGATTCAGGGCCTCACACGCTTACATGTACTGTGCAAGTGCTCGCCTGGCCTCCCAACTTGGGATCCTTCTGTCTCAGTCTCCCAAGTAGCTGGAATCATAGACAGGTGCCATCATTCCTGGCTACAAATATTAAAAAAAAAAAACAAAAAAAAAACTGGGGAGTAAAAAACCATTATATCACCCCAACTGCCCTGGGGTTGGGGTTGATTCCCAACACCACCACCAAAAAAAAAAAAAAAAGGATTCTTCAGTATATGCCCATTCTTCTGATCACTCATCACTATCAATATTTTATTATATCGTAAAATGATACTTGATTATTCTCTTAAGTAGTTATATAATACTTCACCATGACTTATTTTTGCTTAACAAATTCCCTATTGTTGAATATTTAGTTTTGATTCTCACTAGTACAAATATTACTAAAAGGAACACCATTATATAAAAATATTTGTTCCCGCCTCTGATTATTACATCAGAAACTAGAACAGACTCTTGGTAAGTGAAATTATGGGTTAACAAATGGTATTGATGCGTTTCAGTCTCTTGACACAAACTGCCAAACTGCTTTCCAGAAATGATACACTAATTTATATGCTCATCAAATGTGAATGAAAGTGCATTTCTCATCACAGACTCACCAATCTGACCATAGGAACAAATGGATAAGCAGCACTTTCAAAAGCATGGAAAGTACTTCAGCTGTAAGGGTAGAAGAGGAAATTGTAGAGAATACATTCTCAAATGCATAAAAATGATTACTGTGGTGAGATTATAAATTTTCTTTTCTCTCTCTCTCTCTTTTTTTTTTTGGTACTGGGGATTGAACTCAGGGGCACTCAACCACTGAGTCACATCCCCAGCCCTACTTTATATTTTATCTAGAGACAGGGTCTCACTGAGTTGCTTGGTGTCTCACTGTTGCTGAGGCTGGCTTTGAACAGCCTCCTGAGCTGCTGGGATTAAAGGCATTCTCCACTGTGCCTGGCACAAATTTTCTTAATATTAATTATAGTTTTATAGTATGTAATAACTCCCAAATAATATGTAGTTTTTATAAGATAATTTAAAACAAGATATACATAATTCTATTTTCCACATCTTATTTTTCTACAATGAATACAAATAACTTGGAATTAAAAAAAAATGAAGGAATAAAATGAATATTAAATATATAAGCTACAACGAAATATGGCTTGACTTTTTCACTTAGGTTAGGCAAGGCAATTTTTCTCCTTCCCACTGGCAGCAGACCTAAGTCCTGCCAAGACTGAGACCATGGCACATAGGCAGAGGTTTCAAAGGCGCTTGCTCAGTTTGAGTCCAAGATTCTATTCTTTTCCGTACGTATATATGCCTTTTCTTTTTAAAGTACAATACTCAGCCTGGGGTAAAACCGGTAATTCTGAGCCAGTTAAATAATTTCTTTTTTTATTTTTAAGGTACATGAGTTTTTCTTCCATTTTCTGGTATGTTTTTCTCTTCTGCACACCTTTTGTTGAACCTCATTTTACCATTCAGTGATCGTGCATCTTAATGATAAGCAGCCCCTCAGGGTTTCTAATCATGAGCTGGGGATACAACTCAGTGATAAATGGCTTGCCTAGCATGTGCAAGGTCCTGGGTGCATAACCCTAAATATGATGCTAGAAAAAAAAAAAAGAGAGAGAGAAAAAAAGTTCAGATGGTAGTGAAATATGAAGCTATTTTAAAAGTCTACAAGTATTAATAACAATGATTTTCAAAAACAGCAAGGCCAGGGGCTGGGGATGTGGCTCAAGCGGTAGCGCGCTCGCCTGGCATGTGTGCGGCCCAGGTTCGATCCTCAGCACCACATACAAAGATGTTGTGTCCATCGAAAACTAAAAACTAAAATATTAAAATTCTCTTTCTCTCTCTCTTAAAAAAACAAAACAAAACAAACAAACAAACAAAAACAACAGCAAGGCCAGGCACGATGGCGCACACCTGTAATCCCAGCAGCTCAGGAGGCTGAGGCAGGAGGATTGTGAATTCAAAGCCAGCCTCCAAAAAAAGTGAGGCGCTAAGCAACTCAGTGAGACCTGGTCTCTAAATAAATCACAAAATAGGGCTGGTGACGTGGCTGAGTGGTCAAGCCCATAAATTCAATCCCACATACCCCTGCAAAAAAAAAAAAAAAAAAAACAGCAAGATTTTGAGCAGATTGCTGAAAAGCTGTTCTCTGCTGCTGAAGCCAGGCAGAAATTCAGAGCCAGGTGCAAGGCTCTGTGTGCAGTATGTAAGTATTTGTGTCATAACACGGAGAGCTATATAAGCATGTGAATGTACAGAATCTCTCTAGAATGACATAAAAGACATGGATAATATTAGTTGGTCTCTGGCGAGAGGAAACGGATGAGACAGAAGGGAAGACTTACGTTTTCAATTCATACTTTTCTGTGTTCCTGTTGGAATTGATCGTTTTCCTTTCCTTTTCTTTTTTTTAATATCTTTATTTCACTTATTTATTTTTAGGCGGTGCTGAGGATTGAATCCAAGGTCTCACACATACAAGGCGAGCATTCTACCACTGAGGCACACCCCTAGCCCCGTTTTTATTTTCTTTTGTAAGAGTTTTAAATTAGTAGATTTTCTGAAAGTGTTTTTATTTAATGGTAGAATAAAACTTTTGAATAAATACATAAAGTATGAGCAGAAGAGGAAGTCACAAGAGGAAATATCTGCTTTGTCAGAAGACATGCCTTGGCATTGGGACCTTATTGGACAATTTCCCAACTTTTAGAATATTTAAAATTTAAATCACTCATTCTTTTAAGGTTGTTTTTTCATCTAACAATCAATATTTAATGGTCTTCAAACTGAAACAGGGCCAAGAATTCTGGGTAGTAATCTTCACACCTCCAAGAACATACTAAGAGATATTTGGCAGATCATACCTTATCTTCTCCATTTTATGAGAAAAGTTGGCTGCAAAGTATTTTCTACCTAATAGAGGAGCTGAACAATCCTTATAAAATATTTTCAAAATAAAGTTATATGTCATCTGGGAGATGAAATAGGACAGAGTATTTTATTTTCCTCAAAATGCCCTGTCATTTTATATTTGGAAGGTTTTTTTTAAAAAAAAAAAAACATTTATTTTTATAGAAGTAGTTGGACACAATACCTTTATTTTATTTATTTTTATGTGGTGCTGAGGATCGAACCCAGGGCCTTGCATGTGCTAGACGAGCGCTCTTCCATTGAGCCACAATCCCAGCCCCAATATTTGTAAGTTTTAAACTGAAGTACTACACATGTTGGAAGTTCCTAAGTCCTCTCCACTAAGCCCCTGGGCTTGACAGAATGAACACATCCAGTAAAATACTCAACATCCTAATGAGAACACTCACCTGTTTCGCAAGCACAGTGAGCACAGCACCAGACTTCCATAGGCCTCAGTGAATTTCTGTAAAGCCCTCAGCCCTGCACCTGGCTCTGTGAATTTTTGTCTGGCTTCAGCAGCAGAGAACAGCTTTTCAGCAATCTGCTCAGGAAAGCCAATAAGGGAATCAATGTGATCAACATTGTCAGAGATGAAGCCCAGGACGAGGCTGAAAAGGGATTTGGCGGAATACCGAAGATTCCCCTCTCGGGTATATGTGAAGATGAAATGATCAGTCTTCTCTTTCTGTGCAGTATCATCTTCCCTGTTCATGCAAAGCTCCACAGAAAAGCCTTTGGGAAACAGTCTGAATGGCCTTGGCTTTTGCAAACCACTCCTGACACCATCCAGAGCCAGATTCACCATGTGCAGTTGCCCATTTTCTCGTACGTAGATGGGTCCTGGGTCCAGGTGATTTTCTGAGTTGAGGTAGTAAGACATTGCCTTGGTTACAACTGTAAAAGTGAGACACAAGGAAGCAAATCCAATTAAAATGCCATCTGTAACATGTAACTTCATCTAGCTGTGCCCAGAGCTTTATAAGCCTACCCAGCAGGCCCTGTGGCTGGTGTGAGGAAAGCGAAGTTCACCAGCTGCTTGGGAACTCTGGCACCTGAGGTGCAACTACTGTCTCTTCCTGGAAGACCCTTTTCTACCCTTTGCCTGGGGTAACGTACTCATCTTTTAGAGCCCATTTTATGAAAGTTCTTCCAGATGTCAGCAACAATTTTTTTACAAGTAAATTCATGGTAGTAGTTTATATTGGAAAAACAATCGGAAACAACATAAATGTCTAATAATTGGGATTTTTATTAAGTAAACTATCCATTCCACACCATGACATGTTATGAAGTCATGAAAATTACAGAGTTTTAAAAAATATATTGGGGGGGCACAAAAAAAGACTGTAAATAAATAACTCCCTTGCTAGTCTTGCATCCTGCACACACTGTTGCACTTGGCTCCTCCTGATTTGTTTCTGGGCCTGCCCCCTACTGCTTTGGGCCCCTTGAGAGGAGGAACCATGTTTAATTCAACCAAGCTCCCTAACCAGCACTTTGGCATGTTATAGTCCTTCGGCAGACAGTTGTGGAATTAAAGCATTCTTACTTGTTAAACCTTACATAAACCATAAGCAACAAAATTTTCTGGATCTATAAAAAGGCCTTCACCACCAGATCTAAATAAAATCTCTTGAAAGCATCATGAATATTAAGGTTTTGTTAGGGCACTTTTGAAGTAAGTAAAAAAATAAAAACACAGTTGGGTTTTTCTGCAATCATGTGGGTGACATTATATGCCCAACAACTAACTGGAATAAATACTTGTTTTCTTGAGTAACTGAGATTTCTAAACACATGAAAAATTGTTATCTGAAATAAAATGAAAGTGTTTGATAATCATTTCTACAATTCAAAGAGAAAAGAGGTAAAATTTAATATAAATAGGCCTGATATTATCCCTAAGATTGACTGACCTTTGAGTGAACAATTTAGCTTTTGCAATACGCAGGGCTACAAGCAGCCCTGAAGCCACTTACAAGTGTCAGCAAACAATTAAGTCAGTGATAAAAAATGCTGAGTCTCTGGAGATCAAACAATGATCCTGTTTATGAAAATCAGTACTATACATGATTCTCCTAAGGATAATTATGTGTATGTAGCACATCAGAAAAGAGGACCCGGTCTAGCCTTAGAGCCTCACCCTCTCCTGCTCATCCCCTTATCCCCTGCTCCATGGCCATGCTGTACTACTTGTTAATTGGTCGTGCTCTTCTGTTCCACTGGTCTTGAACTATTCTACTCCCTTCAGCTGGAGCATCCTTCTCTGCCTCCCTGAGCTAGTTAATTCCTACTTTTCATTAACACCGAGCTCCAACATCATCCCCCTCCTGGGAATCCTGTGCCAATCCCTGCACCAGGACATGTCTGTCTGGTTTTCCCAGAGCACCCAGTGTCTCCTTCTACATTAGCAGTTAGTACTATGTACTATGTCTAAGTCTGTTTACTTGTTACTGTACCAAGAGCTGAGAGCAATTTAAAGGCAAGGCACTTAAAATTTGATTCATCTCTCTTTCCTAAGACAAAGTAAGTGCCTAGTACTGAGTAAGCCCTCAAAAGATATTTGCTGAACTAAACAGGAGGAAGGGAGAGACCTCAAAGGGACAGATTTAGTGCTCTGAGTTACAGGGCCTGCTGATACTGTTGCTAGGAGCCAGCTCCTCCTCCAAGTAACAGCTGCATGCTCCTCCCCCACTTGCCAGACCCTTCTGCAGGTGGCTGAAGCAGACCAAATGAAGGGAGTATATTGCTACTGGTACTACCAGGAGGAAAAAACAAAGAAAGAAAGAACTTAACTAAAAACTAAGGGAAAATTTTGTCATAGTGCCAGCTCTCATAACCCACTCTTCCCTTGCCAGCACTCAATGTCTGCTGCTAAGGAGATGCCTCACTTATTCTAAACTCTTCATCCAGCAGAGGTTAATATCTGGCCCCTTCAACCTCACAGACATTAATCCTAATGAGGAGAAAAGGCAGATCTCCTTCAGTCTTTATTCATAGGGTATTTACAGCCTACTCTACCTGCCAATCAGGAAGTAGACACCAAGGGCCCTAAAAAGAAATGACTTAATTTTAATGGTAGAAAGGCAAATTCTATGGAAGATAACATTAGAATAAATCAGCACATTATGAGCCCTGAGCAACGAAATAGGGTCTGTCCATATTCACTGCTCATAATCCTCAGTCCCAATAGTAACGTTCCACAAACTTTGGAGTAAAATAAACAAATTCAAGAATAATTGTATGGATGACCATTTCTGATGTAAACTAGGAAAGTGTGACTTCATCCAGCAGAGGGCACAAACAGCTTGGGACCACAGTAAGAATGCTGCTAACCCCTGCCCCAAATCCTGTCAGCTTGAGCTTCCAGGGATCATTTTGCATAAAGGCACAGTTACAACTATATTTTATCTTTAAATTACTCATCAAATGCTATTTCTCTTTCTAAATAATGAAAAAACTCAGTATTTCTTGAAGAGTAGAACTATATCATTTGTCCAGTTGTTCAAAGCCTTTCTTTCTTCTACTGATATATAAGGAACTGAAGTTGGTTCAGGAAATTCTAGTGACCTTTGATTTCTTCTACTAAAATTTGTATATCCTGTATCCTCCCAATAAGGTGCTTCCTTGGAGTTTGTATTGTACTATAAAATGATCTAAGAATTAAATTAATGTTTGAACCTTCTGAGGTTAAGAACCACAAAGGCAAGATGATTCTACACAAAGCTCCTGTATTCAACTTTGCTTGCCCCTGGCTATTATACATGGTAATCTATTACAAACTGACTTCTCAGGAGACAGGGCCTATTCTATAGGATGGCAAAAATCTGAAATTGGAAAATTAAAATAGTGGATATCTGCAAGAATAACAATGTCCAATGTAGATCAGTTGCAGCTATATTAGGTCAACAGAGTGACAGGTGTACTTGCTTTTTTTTTTTTTTGGTGGGGGGGAACTAGGGATTGAACCCAGGGGTGCTTTACCACTGAGCTATATCTCTAGCCCTTTTTATTTTGAGACAGGTTCTCCCAAGTTTCTGAGGCTGCCCTTGAACTTGTGATCCTCCTACCTTAGCTTCCTGATTACATGTAACACCATGTCTGGCCAGAGTGACAGGCATTCTAATAGGTCTCCCAGTCCTCTCCAGAGAAGCAACTTTGTCACACACAATATCTTACAAAACAATACAGTAGTGCATATTCTAGGGTCTGGTCATCACAAATGAGCCAAAGTTGCCATATAATTTCTTCCAATAAATGAAATATGACCTTAGTAATCAAAATTCAGCTCTCTGTAGCTTCTTTGAATAGGAAAAAATAAATAAATAACTAAACATGACAGTTTTTCAGACCCTGAAACCAGTTTACCAAGCAAAAAGCATAATTATCCCAGTCAGGTGAACTGAGGAAGATGAAGAGGATAATAGGGTTAAAATTGTGAGATGAGTCTGCGATTATCTAATTTGAAGAAGAAAAGTAAGAAAGCACCTAACTTAAGTAGGTAAAATAATTAACAACCCCTTAAGAATAACATGTTAAACTGGGTGTGCTGGTGTATACCTATAATCCCAGCAACTCAGGAGGCTGAGGCGGGAGGATCTCAAGTTCAAGGCCAGACTCAGCAACTTAGTGAGACCCTGTCTCAAAAAATAAAAGGGCTGGGAATGTGGCTCAGTGGTAAGTGCCCCTGGCTTCAATCCCTGGTACCAAAAAAAAAAAAAAAAAAAGAATAACAGGTTATAATAATGACTGATATTAGTCAATACTGGATGCAAAGGCTACCATTTATTAAGTGCTTACCAGTTGTCAAGCACTATAATAAGTACTAAATAAAATGACCTCATGTAATTACTTATCCTAAGGGGTGGTAACTTCTTCAAGGAACAGAGCTAGTAATTGGCAGAGCCCAAATTCAATGTCAAGGCTGTACTACTCCAAAGTTCAAGCTCTTTCCATTGCGTGATGCTCTCTCTCAAGAATAAAAACATGACATCAATCTTAAGGATTAAAAAAATGTTAAAAATTAATCTCACCCACCTGTTTGATCCCTCTGGTACTCACTGGCTCAGGCTGAGTGGTAGGGAAAAGAGAGGAGATTAAAAACAAAAACCAAAAAACAGGGGGATTCTGAGGAGAGAATTGGTGGGAACAGAGCCAGAATAGAGTTACAATGAGGCCTCCCTTCTTTTTGCCAGTGTAGAAATTAGCCACATCCCACAGCAGGAAAACATCTGTCAACCCATGACCTTCATTTCAAGACTGCAGACACGTTTGGCTTATTAGAATTTTTAAGAAAGTTTCTAACATTAAAAACTCGAAAAGAAAGCAGTTCTAAACTACCTATAACCAACAAACAATCCCCCTCTCATTGTTCTGTGTCACCGCCATTATTCAATTTTCAGTTCTCCCCACTACTTCTTTTTTCCTGTAGCTTGCACTTCCCTACCTGCCTTCTCACCCATACCCGTTCCTCCCACAAACTCTGAAGGCTCACACCGTACCCAGCTCTCTACTTTCCCTCAAGGGCAAACTAATCTCTTCCACATCTTGATACTCTTACCAACTCTACAGCTTCTCACCCCAAATCCTAAACCTTCCCCTTCACACACTCACAGCTCATCTGCCCCCTCTTCAGAGATCATACCCTTTCAATCCTTCCGCACCCCTTCCAAAAACGTGGCTCCAAAACCCAATCCCACCTCCACCTGCTTCCCTTCCTGTCTCTACGCCATTCCACCCACATCCCTGGGGTCTTTCAGCATCCATCCTTCCCTTCCTCTCCCTCGGGCTTTCCTCTCCTCGGACCCCAACCTCTCCATTCCTCTCCAGTCTTGTGTCCTCAACCCTCAAAATCCCATTCCTTCACGCTTCAACATCCCCAACTTCACAATTCGCAGCCCCAACTTCTTCTTTCTTCCCTGCTTCCAAGACCCCACCCCTTCCCCCATTCCACTCCTAGCTCCCTTCTTCCGTGCACCCCCCCCCCACCCACCTTCCCCTTCGCCTCGCCCGGTACCGCAGTCCTTCGCCCGCCTCTCAATTCCCACGCACGCCTCTCTTCCACTCCTCCCAAGCCAATGCTGCTTCCCCTCGCACCCCGACCCCGAGTCTCACACGCCCCCACAGCTCTCCCCGGCTCCCCGCCCCCACCTTCAAACCCACCTCCCACACCCCTACATCCTCATCCTCCCACCCTCCCTCGCCCTCCCCTCCCCCACCCGCCCCTCCCTCACACCCTGCCCCCGCCCCCACACGCAGCCCGGGGTTCGGCCAGCGGCCAAGCCCGCGGCCGCCACCTACCTGTGCCCCTGCCTGGGGCAGCGAGCGGCAGCACCTCGGCGGCGGCTCCTTCCTTCTGTAGCGCGGCTGACGAGGAAGGCGGCTCGACACACTGGGCACAACGCTGTTGAGGGTGGGAAACAGAGAGGGTGGCAGGAGGGAGGGGGCTGGGGGCGACCTGGCGCCGTGGGACCGCGGGACCGGCGGGGCGGGGGGAGGGCTGGGCCATGGAGGCGCGCGTGCGCGGGGCCGGCATAAGGGGCGGGGCTGGGCCTAGGGCGGGGCCGGCCTGGAGGCGGGGCTGGGCCTGGAAGCCGGGCTAGCGACCTGAGGGCTCGGGGCTAGGAGCCGGCAGGCCTGGGCACTGCGCGTGCGTGCCCGCGGGAGGGCGGGTCTCCTGGGTCCTGCGGTCCTGCGGGCCAGCTGGGTTGAGCCGAGCTGAGCTGGGGGAGGTTAGGCCTGGGAAAAGGCTCTCGGGCGGGATTACGCAGCTGGGCCGGCGAGTTTGCAGGGAAGCTGACGGGTGGAGCGCTTTGAGTAGTGCTGTGCGCTTGGCCGGGACTCCGCCGGGGCGCCTCGAGCTGGGCGCGGGGGAAATCCCAAGCGGGACCATCAGTACGCCCGGATCTACCTTGAGGCCCAGGCGAGCGAGTCAGCGGGGTGGAGTAGGCCGGCACCGGGGGAGGTGGGAGTCTGGCGGGCTAGGCGGACGGAAGGGATGCTGGCGCGAAGGGAGCGAGCGCGGGGGGCTGGTGCGGAGTCGCGGCGTGGAAGGTGCGGGGGTGTGGCGGGCGGCGCTGAGAGGTAGCCTCATGAAGGCGTCTGACGCCGGCCAGTGCTCCCTGCTTGGCCCGGGGAGGACCTTTTTGAGGTTTGAAGTAGTGCTTTGGCTCCCAAAGGAAAAACTGATTGCAAATAGAAGTTAATGAATCTGCCTAAACTTTAGATGTAGCTGCAACATAACCCATGTAGTTATAAGTTGTATTTACTATCAAGGCGGGCTCAATTAATGTATTTTATGTCACCTGGGACGGGACTGAGTCAAAGGCTTGGGATGGATGTGAGCTTTGTGTCCAGGGCTGATTCCCGCCTTTCTAGCAACGGGTCCTGGCCTCTGGGGAGACTGGATGCACGGAAAGGGCGTGTGAACTCCAGGTGAAACCAGTGGCCAAGGCTTAGGGTAAGGCAGGGAAGTCCAAGGTTAGCGATTATAAAAATGGGAAGGATGGCATCCTGGAGTGCACCTCCCACATTCGGTGAACTGAGGCTCTGAAGAAATACGTGTTTATTTAGAGCAAGGCATCTCAGTATGGAGGATTAGACTATATCTTAAACCTGCACCTTGGAGTTGGGAGAACAGCATATTGTTGTTCCTGGAGGGTTTTTTGGAATTGGTTTGCCTTTCTCCTGAATTGTAACAAAAGAAACTTAAAGGGAACTCAGCCCCCTCCCTTTCTTTCTTGTTATTTAAGCAATTTTTCCAAAACAGGGAATCAAAGGATATTGTTTGCTTCCTTCAGACAACTTAGATAATTAAGAATGTGCAGTAAGCAAAGAACTGAACATTTGAAGAATACACCCTATCCCATTTATCTACTTAATATACATGTGAATTCCAGATGCATTTTCCTAAAATGTAACTCTTTTCTAATTCATAAATATAATTCCTTGTACATTTTGGTCTACATAAGAAATGAAGAATACACGCTTTACTATGTTCATTTGTTTGAACACATTCAAATGAATTCAGATAGTAAAAGTTGAATTAAGTTTTTTTTTTTTAAGGAAACAAGCCCACCACAAGGGTAATCCCAGAGAGTCAGGAGGCTGAGGCAGGAGGATGACAGGATCAAGGTCAGCTTCCACAATTTAGCATGACCATCTCAAAAAAGAAAGGGCTGAGGAGCTCAGTGGTAAAATGTCCTGTGTTTAATCTCCAGTACCAAAAAAAAAATAACAAACTCTTCTCACATATAGAATAATTATTCTGTGTGGGTCACACTATATTAGAACATGGCATTGTATTATTAATTGCATATTTGTCCATCTTCCTTGACTCAGCTTGAAGACAGACAAGTCTCAGTAACTTAGGTTGTATGCATCTTTTCATTACTAGCATGGTGCCTGGCCCTTGCCGCAGTCTGGCTGGGCACAAATGCCGCAGTCTGGCTGGGCACAAAATCACGAGCCACCACACAGCTTGTAGATTCAAACAGCAACTCTTTATTCCCGAACTCACACCAGCCATCTACAATCACATTCTGGGGAAATCCACGTTCTCTGCCCAAATCCACCTCCACTGGGCTTCTATCTCCCAAAAAATACTGTCTGAATCCCGTGAGAACTCAAGGGGAACTCAGGCAGCAGGATACGCCCTATTCCCAGCAGGAATAATCTTAAACCTTAAACCTGGAACCTAAACCGGAACGCCCTAAACCCGATTATCCTAAACCAGGAACACCCTAATCCTGGAACCGCCCTGGTCCTTGAGCAAGGTCACATACATGCAATGTCACTGCAAAATGTCCTATTTCCACGAGTCCTTCCACTAAGCAACATGGGGTACGCTGGCAAGGAAATTGTCATACCTACTTGGCTAATGGCTCCCAGAAGGCCCTTGGTTCAAAAGGGCCTTAGTTTGTATTCAGAAATTTTGACAGAATATAGTATTTCCTTACCTTTTTTTTGACGATACTGAGGATCAAACCAAGGGCTCATATGCTAGGCAAAGGCTCTACCACTGAGCTGCATCCTCAAGCCCTATTTAATAATTGAAGATAGCATTTCTTTACCTTTGGAGATAGATATAGTACACTGTTATCGTCATTGACTTTATGATCAATGAAGCCAATAAGTTTTATACATCTTAATCAAGGATCAGCAAACTTTTTTGTAAAGGGCCAAACATTATTTTAGTCTTTATTGGTCTTATAGTCTGTCACAGGTATTCAGCTGTACTATAGCACAAAAGTAATCATAGACAATATGTAAAAGAATGAGAACTGCCATGTTCTAATAAAACTATTCATGATCATAAAAAAAAATAGGTGGCAAGCTAGATTTGACTTGAAAGCAGTAGTTTGCTAACCCCTGATCTTGTAGGACTAATTTTTTAAGACTTAAGTATAAGCCTTTATGATTATCTTTAACTTATAATTCATTGCACACATCTTTCTAGCTTGCTCTTGTGTCTTTATTCTGTGTGTGTGTGTGTGTGTGTGTGTGTATGTGTATGCATGCACAGACGTGCTCTAGGGATTTAACCCAGGGACTCACACATTACTTACGTATGCTCTACTACTGAGATACACCCCCCAAACCCTGATCACTTCTCTTTGAGGGTCAGTTGCATCATCTGCTATATTAGCTGATACCCCATCTTTGTTATTGTCTGTAGAATTGATAAGCATATTTTTGTACCCTTAGTTAAAATTCTTAAAAGGATAAAAGTCTTCCACAAGTTTATTTTGTTCTAATAGTCATTATTATTTTGAGTATAGCCACTCAAAAAGTTATAAGAAACTACCTAAAGTGCAGCCTGTCCTACAATCCATATTTCCCACCCCAGTCTGGTCTGTGTGTGTGTCTGTGTATGGGTATACATATATTCATATATGTGTATTTTTTTTTTTTTTTGTACAAGAGATTCGACCCAGGGGCACTCAACCACTGAGTCACATCCCCATCCATTTTTATTTAGAATCTGGGTCTCACCAAGTTGCTTAGGGCCTTGCTAAATTGCTGAGTCTGGTTTTGAACTGGAGATCCTCCTGCCTTAGTCTCCTGAGTCACTGGGATTACGGCCATGTGCCACTGCACCTGGCTTAGAATCTCTTTTTTTCTTGACCAGTGTGACCCAGCTTTTATTACTATTACTACTAGATTTTAAAACTAAGATAAAAAGTGGGCTTTACTTTCTATTATAATAAAATAAAAACTAAGAAGAACTAGATCTCTTATGAAATACAAATTATCAATAATTAATACAACTGACTAAAATTGACTCAAGGTATAGAAAACCTGAAGAGATCTATTGAATTTGAATTGTCAAAAATTACGCTATGAACACTTCACCAGGTATACACGATCAGATAATCCCTACCTTATATAAATTGTTCAACAATTAGAAAAAGAAAGCAAAGCTCTCTGATTTCTTTGGAATACAATCTTTATTCCAAAGACATATGAACTAAAGGAAAAATTATAGGCCAATATAATCTTAACAATATATTTGCAAAAATTCCAAATATAATACTAGGAAACTGAATTTAACCATAAAAATAATAATGCACCATAGACACATAGATAGAATTTGTGCCAGGAACTGGGGATGCTATAACGATAGAAATTTCCTTAATTTATATTAACGATCTGTAGAAAAATCTATTATGATTATTTTCGTAGATATAGAGGAGTATTTGGTAAAACTCAATTTTTATTCATATTTAATAGAAAAAAAACAACAACAAACAAGGAGAAGGAAATTTGTGTTTACTTAGTAATATCTAACAAAAACCACAGTGTACATGACACATGACACATTTCATGGTGAAATGTTAAGAAATATTCCTTATAGAGCTGAGGACATAGCTCAGTGGGAAAGTGCTTACCTACCATGTATAAGGCCTGGGTTCCATCCATAACACTGCAAAGAAAAAAAAAAAAAGAAATACCCATTGTATAGTCAAGAATAAATGTTATTTTTAAAAAGATCCCACTTATGTAGCTGGGCACAGTGGTACATGCCTATAATCTCAGTGGCTCGGGTGGCTGAGGCAGGAGGATCGTGAGCCAATCTCAGCAACTTAGCGAGGTACTAAGCAATTCAGTGAGACCCTGTCTCAAAATGAAAATACAAAAAAGAGCTGGGATGTGACTCAATAGTTATGTTCCCCTGAGTTCAATCCCCGGTACCAAAAAAGAAAAAAAAAATCCCACTTCAATAGAAGGAGAAACTATAAGGTGTCTAAGAGTATATCTAACAAAAGAGACATATATTTGGAGAAGGATTTTTTAAAAGTTTTTTAATAATGAAGAGATATGCTAGATTCAGGGCACTGATTATCATTAACATGTCTCTTCTCCCCAAATTATAATCTAATTGAATTGCTATCTAATCTCAAAATTTTCATGTAGTTTAAGAAAATTGTTTCTAATAAGCTAGGTACAAAGTATAGGACCAAACCAATTTTGATAATTAAGTAGAGGAATTTACCATGTCAAATATTAAATTTGATAATTTTTGCTTTCAGTCTGCATCTTTTTTAATATTTATTTTTCAGTTGTAGTTGGACACAATACCTTTATTTTATTTATTTATTTTTATGTGGTACTGAGGATTGAACCCAGGGCCTCGCACATGCTAGGCAAGTGTTCTACACTGAGCCACAACCCCAGCCCTCAGTCTGCATCTTTATATTCATAATGTGTAACTTAAGCCGGACATGGTGGTATATGTCTATAGTCCCAGTGACTCAGAAGGCTGAGGCAGAGGACCACAAGTTGCCCAGAAGCCAGCCTAGGCAACTTAATGAGACCATATCTCAAAATAAAAGGGACTGGGGATGTATATTAGTGGTAGGGTGCTCCTGTGCTCAAAAACAGGTTTTTTTTAAAAATACAGTAAAATAGTCTAATGCTTAGTTTATTAATATTTAGCAGGAAAACTGGTATATTTGTACTTAATTGAGTTCTGTGTTCTTGATACGTTTTTTTTTCCTGTCTGCCCTGTTTGTTCTTTTGTTCCTTTCTACTTTTTTCCAGATTAATTATTTTTATGGTATTCCAGATTTTCTCTTCTGTTGACATTTATCTTAGTCCATTTTATGTTTCTGTAACAAAATACATGAAGCTGAGTAATTTGTAAAGAAAAATTTTATTTAGTTCACAGTTCTGGAGGACCAAGAGCATGCACTGGCTTCTGCTAGGCTCTGGTGATGGCATCCTTGAGGATAGCATATGGGAGAAAGAGAGGTCACATGGCAAGAAAGGAAGCAAGGATGGAGGACATGACTATTCTTGTATAATAACTTGAGTTCCCAGAAAACTAATTGACTCCTATGAGACCTAACCCACTCTACTACAAGACCAGCATTAATTCCTTTAGAAAGGCAGCTATGACCCAATCACCTCCCAATAGGCTCCATCTCTTAAAGGTCCCACTTTTTTATTTTTATTTTTTTAGCACCGGCATCAGACCCAGGGATGCTCTACCACTGAGTTACATCGCTAGTCCTTTTTAAAATTTTGAGACAGGGTTTCACTTAAGTTTCTCAGGTTGGCCATGAATTTGTAATCCTTCTGTCTTAACCTTCTGAGTTGCTGGGTAAAATTTTAGGCTTGTGCCACAGCATATGGACCACCCACCCCAACTCCCAACCCCTGCCCCTTTCAGAGTTGTGTTGATATGTTGTTAAGAACCAAGCTTCCAGCACATGAATCTTTGAGGGAGAAACCATATCCAAACCATAATGGTTCTCTTATATTACTTTTTTTTTTTTTTTTTTAGCAGTTACTTTATTCTAGTTCCAGGATTATAACATGCATCTTTAACATCCTAGTCTACTTTGAGTTAATATTCTATGACATCATGTTCAGTGTAAGAACTTTACTAAAATACTCTATAAGTACTTTCACTTACCTTCCCCCTTGCCTTTACTTCTGCATCTGTTAAGTCCCCACCATTCATTGATAATATTTTTAATTTTTCTTCTTTAGACCCAGACAGTAGTCCAGTTCTTTTTTCTGGTACTGGACATCATTAAACCCAGGGCCTTGCACATGCTAGACAAGCACCCTACCACTGAGCTATACTGCCAGCCCCAGTACCTTGTAAATATATTTTAAGAATATACACTTATATTAACGATATTTTTTCCATTTATAATGCTCTTTATTCCTTCCGTTGGACCCAGAATGTAACTATGGAATCATTTACCTTTAGCCTAATGAACTTCTTTAACTTTTCTAATTGTATAGGTCTACTGATATATACTCAGCTTTTATCTAAAAATACCTTTAATTTGCCTTTAGAACATTTTTTGCTAGATATGGAATTCTGTAGGGTTTTTTTCAGCACTTCAAAAATGCCATTCCATTTTCTTTTGGTCTGTATTATTTCTGATAAAAATTGGAAAAAAAAAAATTCCCCTTTGAGGATTGAACCCAGGGCCTCACACATGCTAGGCAAGTGCTCTACAACTGAGCTACAACCCCAGCCCTTTAATTTTAATTCTTTTTTAAAATATTGTTTTAGTTGTAGATGGACACACAATATCTTTGCTTATTAATATATATATATATATATATATATATATATATATATATATATTTTTTTTTTATGTAATGCTGAGGATCTAACCAGTGCCTCTCACAGGCCAGGCAAGTGCTCTGCCACTGAGCTACTGCCTCAACCCCTAATTTTAATTCTTAACTGTTGTTCTGCAAAATCTGACTGCTTTTTTTTTTTTAAAGACAGACATAATATCTTTATTTTATTTTGTTTATTTTTATGTGGTGCTGAGGATTGAACCCGTGCCTCAAATGGATGAGGCAAGTGCTCTGCCACTGAGCTATAAGCCCAGCCCCAAATCTGACTGCTTTTAATTTCTTCTCTTTAACTTTCAGCAATTAACTATGTTTTGCCTAGATGGAATCTTTGTATTTATTTAGCGTGGGTTCCTGAGTCTTAGATTTGTGGATTTATGTCTTTTATAGATTTGGAGAAATTTTCAAGCATATCTCTTCATCATTTTCTTCTACACCATTCACTTTCTCTTCTCTTGGGAATTCAATTACATGTATTTCAGTCTGCATCTGTAAAGGGCCAAACAGTATCTTTAATAGTTTAATACTGTTTAAAGGATATCTAATATTCTATTCTGTTATCTTAATTTTTAAAATTTTTTTTGTTTTATTTTGGATCATTTCTATTGACTTTTTTTTTTTTTTTTTGGTTGTACAGAGGAGTGGTAAGAGAGGTGTATATATGTTAATATGTGTAATATGTAAATATGTTAAATACCAGCTTTAATTATTGGAGGCAGAGCTGGTCGTAAGAGGGTCTCAACAGGATACTAGGCAAGTGCTCTATTAGAGAGCAAGGCCTACAGCCCCTGAATCCATCTTTAGGTTCACTGATCCCATTCTTAAGCTAGATCCTATCAACTATTTCACCCAACTAATGAATTTTTTATTTTAGATGCTGTATTTTATTTTATTTTTTTTGAGAGAGAGAGAGAAAACTAAAAAAAATAGTTTTATTTTTAAATAAACTATTAAATATTTTTAATATTTATTTTTTTTAGTTTTCCGCAGACACAACATCTTTATTGCCGCGCGAATGCCAGGCAAGCGTGCTACCGCTTGAGCCACATCCCCAGCCCAAGGTGCTGTATTTTAAGCTCTAGGTTTTCCATTTTTGAGTCTCCATTTCCTGCTAAGGTGCTGCTTCTGTTCACTCATTGGTCTATCTTCTCTCTAAATTCTCTAACAGATATATAATATTTTAGTTTATGTTTGCTAATGAAATTTAGCACCTGGGTCATTCCAGCACTTAGTTACCTATAGATTTGCTTCTAATAGCTTTGTTTAATATTGCATGTTAAATAATAGTAGAGACTGAAATAGATAATGTTTGGGGATTGTTTTCCCCCCACTCCTTTTCTTCCCCAGAGAGAAAACCCAATCTTTCTTTAATCTAGTAGTGAGGATGAGGGGTAAACCAATTCAGTCTAGCTATAAATTATTTTGGGTGTAGATCAAGTTGCAGATTTAAATATTTTTAGTTGACTCTGATTTCATACAACTGAGAATGAAATTAATTCCCTCCTTCTTGAGGGCTTTGGTGTCTAAGTACCTGAGACCAAAGAAACCTGTCTTTGCTTTTCAGCTCATACCCAGTTTCCTGTGAAGCTCCACAAGGGCTAGTTTCTTTGATCTCATACAGAGTTGTACTGAGTAGGGGCTGGGTTGCCTCTGTAGCTATTCTCTGTTATATATGACATTGATACATCTCACAAACAATAATGAGGGGAGGGGGGAAAGCCAGTATTAACTGTGTGATTTCATGTACATATATTTTGGGCAAAGTTAACCTTTAGTATTGGTTACTTATGGGAAGGCAAGAGGGTTGGTAATTCTTAAGGGGTGGGTGAGAAAGGCTTCTCGAGTGTTCTATTTCTTTATCTAGTTGCGTTTATTCATGAAATTTTATTGAGCTATATGTTTATGATGTGTGCACTTTTCTGTATGTATGGTATAGTTCAATGACAAAAAATTAAGCAGGGTAGTAAACTCTTATACCAAAACCAAGCCAATCAAACCAACAAACAAAAAACAATACATGGCCAGGCGCAGTGGCGCACGCCTGTAATCATAGCGGCTCAGGAGGCTGAGGCAGGAGGATCGTGAGTTCAAAGACAGCCTCAGCAAAAAGCGAGGCACTAAATAACTCAGTGAGACCCTGTCTCTAAATAAAAATACAAAATGTGGCTCAGTGGTCGAGTGCTTGAGTTCAATCCCTGGTACCCCACCCCCCAAAAAAAGAAAAAAGTATATGGATAAACAGTTATAAAATCTGTTTTTATCTTCCAGGTTTTTTTTTTTTAATTTCAGAAGTATAACTATCAACAACTTCCACTAATTTATGTCTCCCTGACTTGTTAACAGTTTCCATGTAATTATTGGAGCAGAGAAATGATGTCAGTTTAGGTAGTCAAAAGACATTTTGTAGAACAGAGTTGAGGTCAGAAGTTTCCTTATATAAACAAACACTGGAGTCCCTCCCACTTGTTGAATTGCTTGGTGGTTAAACAGTATGCTAGGCAACAGGCTTTCCTTCTCTTTCCTTTTTTAGATGAAGCTAAGAGAATCATGGAGTTGCTTTTTTATTTTTTATTTTATTATTTGCAGGTTTAACACTTGAAGATGAGACAATTTGATCTTTGTTTGAGCTCTGAAGGATCTGAAGTGGTTTTAGCTACATCAAGTGATGAAAAACACCCACCTGAAAATATCATTGATGGGTAAGAGTTACTATACTGTCTCACTTGAAGTCTTTATATTGGGCTAGTGAACCCCTGTGGTACTGGAACTATGTACAATTAGTGCTGTTAAATATAGTTTAATAAGTGTTTGATAAACCAGATTTCCTGGTAGTATCCACCTTTGTCATCATTCCTGCAACTAATTCATATGTAGATATTTAAGTTTTTGATCCTTTTCTTTATAATTCCTAAATGGACCTCTTTATACAAAGAGGTGTTTAAATTTATTATTTTTACTATTATTATTTTTCATTATTTTTCTAGTGCCAGGGATGGAACCCAGGGCATTGTGCATGGTAGGCAAGTGCTCTGCCACTGAGCTACACCCCCAACAATAGGACATTTTATAATTTTGTTTACCAAGGCAAACAACAACTTCATTTTATGAATGTGTAAATTTTTATGTCTAGTTTTGTTTGTTTTTATTCCAGATTTTTCTTGGAAATATAAATGTAAACATAGCTTCCTATCTGCTCCCTATTTCCTTACTGGCCCAAGTGACATCTTTGCTGAAATGAATGTTTCACTTTATGCTATTTATTGCTCCTGCATTGTTTGTTTCTCAGCTTCTTGATATCCTTCCAGTTTCCACTCTTTAACAGGTCTAGAATCATTCTCTGTAGAGATAAATACTATTCTCAGAGTCTTAATTCCAAGAAATAAAATGGGAGAACTCCTTTTTTAATAGTTCTACTTATTTCCTTACTGTCTTGAGTTCTCTTCCTTGGTTTGTGTATAATCACCAGAGTTTAACTCACAGAATCATGTAATTTTAGAGCTGGAAGAACTTATGAGTTCATCTTGTCTAAGCCCTTCATTTAAACTTGTGGTAAGAGAGGTGTAAGTATGTTAAATACCAGCTTTAATTATTGGAGGCAGAGCTGGTTGTAAGATAGAGATGTTGGATTCTTTGTGTTCTATTATGAAGACTACATGTCTAGACAAAATGCTAGCAAATTGACCTCTTCTTTCAACTTTAGTTGCCATCTCCTTTCTGCTCCTTTCCCCTCAGGTAGGATAAGTTTATCTCTTTGTGGACTCTAATAGCATTTGGTATATACCTCTAGTATCTTTCTTATTCCTTTTTGTGTAATTGTTTATTTTTAATGTTTTTCTCCTCTCTCAACTGTGAGTTCCTAGGAATCAAAATCTATATCTTGTTCATCTTTTATTCCATAGAGCCTTAAAAGTTTAACAGAGGGGCTGGGGATGTGGCTCAAGCGGTAGCGCACTCGCCTGGCATGCGCGGGGCGCTGGGTTTGGTCCTCAGCACCACATATAAATAAAATAAAGATGTTGTGTTCGCTGAGAACTAAAAAATAAATATTAAAAAAAAAAAAAAACGTTTAACAGAGTTAGAACATCAAATATTAGTTAAACTTGGCTAATTTTTTTTTTTTAAATACTAGGAATTGAACCCAAGGGGCTTTCAACTGTGTTACATCACCAATCCTTTTTATTTTTTGAGACAGGGCCTCACTAATTTGCTGAGGCTGGCCTTGAACTTGTGATCCTCCTGCCTTAGCCTCCCTAGTACCTGAAGTTACAGGCATGCACCACTGCTCTCAGCTTGGCTAATATTGAAAAGTATTAGAGTGTATATTTATACACACATATACATAAACCTACATACATGTATATGCATATGTTATATGTTTGTATAAGACTTTATAATTTCATATACTATGTTATTCAATTGGGAAATAAGAAACCCAAAGAAGTATTTTCAACCCTACTGTAAAGATGAGAAAACAAATGATCACATGTAAAATGACTTGCTTAAAATCATACAGAGAAGCAGATGGCAAAATCAACTAACACTCATATTTTCTAACTGCTAGTTAAGGGCTCTTTGTCCTATACTATAACAAATCAAATCAACATTGAATCAAAAAGTTAATATCTGCCTTTGCCTGTGTCTCTTAGTTCATGTCAGTTTTTTACTTTCTGAAAGTGAAGTAATATTTCTTATCCCACTCTTAACTTGGAGTAGAAAAATTAGCATGGGAACTGTTATAAGAATACATAGAACTGATCCAGGCATGGTGGCACATGCCTGTAATCCCAGCAGCTCCGTAGGTTGAGGCAGGAGGATTGCAAGTTCAGAGCCAGCTTCAGCCAAAGTGAGATGCTAAGCAACTCAGTAAGACCCTGTCTCTAAATAAAATACACAATAGGGTTGGGATGTGGGTCAGTGGTTGAGGGCCTCTGAGTTCAATCCCCAATACCCGCCCCCCAAAAAAAGAATATACAGAACTGTAGAGATTTGCCTTAATGTTGTTTGCTAGGAATAGAGATCTTTCCAGAAACATTCCTTATCTCTGATTGGAGAGAGATCATTTTTCTAAGGCAAGATCAGTTTACCTTCTACCCTTTTGATGACTTTTCTCTCAAGGTAATATGTTTATGGATTATTAGGGTCAGCTGGGCATGATGGCGCACGCTTGTAATCCCAGCAGCTCGGGAGGCTGAGACAGGAGGATCAAGAGTCTAAAGCTAGCCTCTGCAATAGCTAGATGCCGAGCAACTCAGTGATACCCCATCTCTAAATAAAATACAGAATAGGGTTGGGGATGATGTGGCTCAGTGGTTGAGTGCCCGCAATTCAATCCCCGGTACCAAAAGAAAAAAAGATTATTAGGGTTAGCTATATTATGTAGCAGATAATATTTTAGGATCTGTCAAGTTTATATTAAGGAATGACTAAGGACCTAATTTTTTTTAGATTAGACAAAAACTGTTAGTACAGAAAAACATGGAATATAGGTAGTTACTGTCCTGCAGACTGAACGGAGTATGTCATTGACTGTAATTCATATGCAATTCTAGCACATATAATTAGACCTTATATATTAGATGTTAAAAAAACTTCTGTTCACAAATTGATATACCTAAATGCAAGTAATCATAGAATTATTTAGGGAAAACATACTATAAATTTACCCCTATTCAACAGTGAAGAATGTTTATGGCCCTGCTCCAAAGTTTCAGTTTCTTCAAAAATAAGAGTTAAAGAAAATGATTATGTTTCTATTTCCCATTGACCCTACCTTTGTCCTTTATATTTAAAATGTCAGTGAAAAAGTAGAAAAAATTCTACCCTAGAAAAAAGAAAAAAATTAGGAGAACTGATTCACTTTACATAGTGTTGGAATATACTAGATTTAGAATTAAAATTCTTGTCGAATTGAACTGCATATTTTACCTTAGACAAAGGTTATATGTAATGTTTTAAGCCCAGTTGTGCTAGGTCAGTGAGATAAGATCAGAGAGACCAAGGAATATACCTGGAGGTGGGACATGAGATATAAAGTTCATTGAAAAATGCTTACAGGGGCTGGGGATGTGGCTCAAGCTGTAGCGCGCTCACCTGGCATGCGTGCGGCCCGGGGTTCAATCCTCAGCACCACATACAAACAAAAGATGTTGTGTCCCCGATAACTAAAAAATAATAAATATTAAAATTCTCTCTCTCTCTCTCTCACTCTCTCTCTCTTAAAAAAAAAAATGCTTACAGGGCTCTCTCTCTTCCCCCTCTCCTCTCTCTCCCTCTCCCCCTCCCTCTCCTCCCTCTCCTTCTCTCTCTCTCTCTCCCTTTCTCCCTCCCTCTCTCTCTCTCTCTCTCTCTCTCTCTCTCTCTCTCTCTCTCTCCCTCCCTCCCTCCCTCCCTCTCTCTCTCCCTCTCCACCCCCTTCTCTTCTGCGACTGACCTCTTCGTCCTGCTAATAAAATCTCAGACAGGTAAACGATTTTTTCCGCGGAGCTTTTCCGTGGTTCCTACAGATATGGGCTAGAGAAGCCATAGAATGTTGTGAGCAGAGCTTAATGGGCAATTCTGGTGGGAGCTCAGAAGACCAGAATGCTGTTAGAAATGTGGCCAATAAAGACTGTACTCATGAGTTTTCAGAGGGGAATGGGGACTCTATTGGGAATCAGACTAGAGAATATTCATGTTACATTCCAGCAAAGAAGTTGTCTACATTTTGCGCATGCCCTGACACCTTCTGTGAAGGTGAATTTAAAGGTAATGGACTAATAATCTGGTGGAAGAAATTTCAAGGAAGCATAGCATTCAGGCCTGGTTGGCCTGGGTGTTGCTGGCAGATTTTAGCTAGGTTTACTGTGAAAATTGGAAGCAGAGAGATTTGGAAAACTTTGTTGGTCAAAGAAGCGCAGGTAAAATTGGGGCCAAGGAATTTACTGTAAAGATGGTCATCAATAAAGAGAAGTTAAGTACTTTGCTGAGACAAAGGAAAGATACCCTGAGGGCATCTCAGGAGTCAGCAAAACAACACCCATTGCAGGCTCAAGGGTGTAGAAGTGAAAACTTGTTTGAGAGACTTTGGACCTATGCTTACATAGGGTTGCCTAGAAAGAAGTTTCCCCAGGATTCATTTCACTGTGTTTGATTGTCCAGGCATTCAGAGGTCACAGCAGTAATGATCTAAGGGAATGGACTAAGGGGGCCAGGCTACAGCTTGAGCTGACTTCAGACCTCAGCATCATTCACATGGTGCTAATTCTGCATGGATGCAGGACACTGGAATTAAGGGATACCGGAAGTTTACACTGAAATTTCAGAGAAAGGCCTGGAAGGCCAGGGAAAGTGCAGCAGGTCAGAATCCCTGCAGGCAGCCCCTGAAATATCAATGCACGAGGCTCTGAGAAGGAAGCCAAAGATGCACTGCAGACACTCTGGATTAAGAGATGCCAACAACATGGAACATCTGCTGGGGAAAGAGGCTAGCTGTGGACAGAGCCAGCTTAAGAGAAAGGCCATTTGGACTGCAACTGGCAAGGCCATAGGGGTGGAGTTGCACAAGCCCTTTGAAGATCATATTTTGCCGTTATGTGCACTGAATACAGAACATAGAGCTACAGGACTTGTTTTCCTAGCTGGATTTTGGTCTTGTGTTGGGCCCATCACTTTTTTCTATGCCCCCATTTCTTCCTTTTGGAATGGGAATGCTTACTGTGTG